TAATAGATTAAAATTTCCAGACAAAATAGTTTTCAGAATTTTGAATTGATTGGAATTATATTTTTTTAAATTGCTAAAATCAGCCATATTGCCAAATCTGTCAATACAACATAACTCTCTTGCTGCAATGTATGGCAAGGGTGTGTTGAGTTTGGAGGAAATATCTGTTTGCTCTCCCAAACAGGGAGACAGGTAATAGATAGAAAAGGGAAAGAGACAGAAGGTAACAAAATAACACCAAGAAAACACAACATGGCAGGTGGCATCGCATTTTGCCCATGGGATCAACTTCCCAAGATACTAAGTCTTGCCAACCTTCCATCACTGGTTTCCCCATCCTTTTAGTGACAGAAGACACTGTCAGAAACCTGAATCTAGACAAGTTGCAGAGAGGCCTGTATCTGAACATGTCAAGCTGTTCTACTGCTAAAACTCAGATGTAACTGGTTTTTGACAGACATGTCCGCACTTGATCCCCTGATACAACATCTTGGGTGGGTCCCTTATGTCAAGTGCTTCTTCAAAGGGGAACTGGTTCGTGTTCCTCCATTTCATCCACATGCAATTCTTCTATGGGATACAAAACTCAATAAAACAAAGATATTTAATTTCAAATGCTTTTAGTTGCTTTTGTTTGATTTATGAATATGGATAATATTGTCTCTGAAAGTAAAAAAACTTGAGGAAAAATGAATTTTTAAAACAATGTTATTTCTTACATTATTTTTACATTATTTTACATCAAGTTATTATATATTCTAAAATTAATAAAAATAGCGTACAGTTTAGTCAATGGTGTTATTAAGTAGATCTATCTTTACAGATTATGAATTGTAAAGCTTATTACAATCAACTGACCACCAGTTTATTAAAAATCCAATTTGCATGGCTTTTGTATCCATAAAATGGCTTTAATTCAAATCTACTTTAGACCATACATGAAAACAATAACATGTCATAGCAAGCATTGTTCCCTTCTGTTACTTTTTTTTTTGGAACTGTTCATGCAAAACACTCGTGCAAAAGTTAATTTGATTTTTCAATTTCAACTGAGAATGGTACCTACAAGTATTAGGCACTTATCTTATGAAATGTATATGATCTTATTTTTATATCATCTCAGTTATGACACTTTTCCATAAATGAAATATCAAAATTAATAAAATGGATAGAAATACAAATAACACATTGAAATGTAATAAATGCACATAAAATTATAGTATTTATGTTCACTTCTGATAAAATTTCATAAGGTACCTATAATTAATTAGATATTTTTCTTATGAAATTTTATCTCACCCTCAACTGCCTTATTTTAATTTTTTTTATAATATATTTTCCATAAAGCATCATAAACGTAAAGGTGAAAGCTAAGTACAAAAAAGAAAAACAAAAAAAATTAAGAGCACTGACAGTTTTCCTTAAAAATAACCAAGTAAATAATTGGTTCACTTAAATCTAAATAATTATGTCACTTCTGTCCTTCCCTATGGTAACTTTCCCTCATGTAAGCTGCCAATGTGATGAAATCATCACTCATCACTTGTCAAGTGACACCAAAGATTAAGACTTGCTTTCTTTTATATTTAAACTACATTTTTTCAGCACAGAAAGTAATGTTTGTTTCAAAATATTTTAAATAAAAATTTTCTAATTTTCTTAAAATAAATTTTGAAAAAATTATGATTTTTAAAAAAGTTTTAAACAGAGATTTTCAATTTTTTTATAAAATGTTAGAATGAGTTATGAGTTTTTTATAAAATGTTCAATGAGTGAATCATTAAAACATTAACAAAACACATTCGCTGAGAATGTTTTGTCAATGTTTTAAAAATATCTAAACTTTATATACAGAAATTATTTTTATTCTTTTAATTTGAATTAGCTGCAGGTGGTTTTAGGTATCATTCAAACAAAAAAAATGAATGCTTATTTGCCAAAATGAATTGTTACTCAGTTTTAATTTAAAACTTTTAAAATATTTGGAATTTTCTTCATTAATGAATTATTTTTACCTCTTTCTTTAGGAAACTTCTTTTTTTTGGGTTCTGCTAGTGATGTGGGGGGGGGTAAGTCTACTTTTTTTAATTTGTGGTGTATTTATCCATTTTTATTTTTTTTTAATTTTATAAAGAAAAGTCCCTTAAGTAAGACATTATTTACAAGAAAAAGTTATGAAATGAGTGTACTGTAAACAGAATATTCGGCCACATCTTCCCAAAAATAATTTTTTAATTGATGTTTGCATAATTTAATAAAACATGTTATTTTCTTTCAGACTGGACAGAAAAAAAAATCTACACTATTTAAAAAAAGAAATTGTAATTTTTCAGTGTGATTTTGAAATTAATCCCCTTCCTGTTCGTCAAAAATTTCTTTAATGAATTGAAAGAAGTTTTCGGTTTGTTTGAAGAATAAAAAAAATGTAAACATTTTCGAGTGTGAACCTTTTTTAAATTATTTTTCCCCTTTTCAACTGTTTGAAAGTTTTCTGATTCATCAGTCAAAGCAAAGGCATTTTGTTTTGCTTTTTTTGCATGTCTTCCTACTCAGTACACTTACAAAATCCACTTGCTTCAGTAAAAAAATAAGTTTAAAAACGGTTGTTCTTTTGTTTTACAGCTTCTTACTTTAAAAAAATACATCGTTGTTTTATTTTTTTTGCATAACTCTAAGAAAATTTTCAGAATTACGACGAAATCATCTCATTCGTATAAAAAAATACGTAATTTTCTAAAATTTACTTTTTGTTTTCTGTTCACATTTAAACACAAATTAATTAAACTTTAATAATTTTGTTTTTTGAGTGCATTATTAATGCTTTCCAACTTACTAAGTTTAATAAAAGCGTAAAACAAAAATATAATTGGTTCTGCAAGGTTAAAGAAAAATTTATTTTTCAGTACAAATAACACATTCTTGATAAATGCACTGCTGAACTTCCGTATTTTTAGGTTATTTTTACTTTTTCGCGCGCTTTTTTGTTTCTATTTTATCCTCGACTACACAGGCTACTGTGCCTAACCTAAATAAAACGTTTTCATTCTGTTTTACTTTTAATTAAGCCTTATTTTTAGGAAATTCAGTTAAATAAATCTCTTGGACAAATATTGGATTTTAAAGAGAATTTTACATTTTTTCATATATAATGGCGGCTAGAGTAACGAAAAACGTACCAACGTTTTTTTAGTCATTTAAAAAAAAAAAAAAAAAAAAAAAGTTTATGTGTATACAGAAATTTTTCTTTTAATTCAGATTAGTCGCAGAGAGGCTAATCAATGTCATTATCTGAAATTTAAACAAGGCATTTGAAATTAGTTTTTCATAAATCCAACAGAAAAAAAGCATTCTAAAAAATTATTTAAATGCGTTTTCCGGGTTTTTTGTCTTTGTTACTAAGTCCGTGGCGGTACCTACAATATTTACTTCCTACTCTGATACAAGATTCCAACGCGGATTAATTATATTTTTCGGTGAAACCAGACATTGTTCCATCGTAAGAGATCAAAATGAAATAACTGACTGGGTAATTAATCCGGTTGACAGAATTGTTGTACAAATAAATTTTAAGAGTAAGACATTACTGCCGAATGAACTGGTTGTGGTAGCATTCATTCACTTAGTGAATTGTAAAACAAGGTGCAATATTTTTTTTTTGGGGGGGGGACCTTTAATTCAATAAGTAAATGTTTTCCAAATGATTGAATAAATAAATGTTAAAGATTTTTTAATCATTTGGAAAATATTTACTTACTGAATTATATAAAGATCCTAACTAAGTTTGAATTGATGCATTTAAATAAAATAAAAAAACTGTTTAAATTTTAGTGATTCAGTCAATGAAGACAAACTAGTTTAAATGCGGTTCAATTAAGATTTTTTTACTTTATTTACTAATTTACATTACTGCAGATTGTACTTTCTTACAAGAAGCACTTTTTAGAATGAGACTGCCACTCTGGGAATTTCTGTTAGTTAAAAACTGAAACATAAAATTAAAATAAAATCAAAAAAATTGTTATTAAATTAGTACGCTTTTGCCTTTCTCAACTAATTATTTAAAGTAGAATTTTAGTTTCTTCATCCAGTTGCCTAACATAAGCCAAAATATTGATCATCATTTTTTTTTTTTTTTATTTCTCTTTGCTAATGGGTCAGACAGTTAAAGCGCCATACGTCTTGGGCTATCAATGTATCTTTCGATGCATGACTGACAAAGCAGATTTTTCCCGCAGTAGGTTACCATTTCTTTCTAAAAGCTAAAGAACCCAGTCTATTCTGCTATTTAACCCATAGCTAGGGGGCGGAAGAGATCGATGCATACCTTTCCCAAGGTTATTTGTGCGTAAGCGAGTCTAAATCTAACGAATTTGATTGAAATTCGAACTCTGTTTCTCACTTCGAACCAATACACCACAACCCACATCCGAAGAACACAATCACCAAACCAACATAAAACACACACACACACACTTGAGGGCTGTGCTAGAAGAGAAGTTTAAATATCGATAGTGATAAGTCAGGGCCCAACAGGATTCCAACATGCCAGACTTCTCTAAAAAGGTGTTGGAACAAATTAAGCAACATTAACAAAACGTCAATCAATTCCAATAAAATAAAAATAATTTATCTCAGTTAACGTAACTAGGAATTAAATTTACGGTACGAGACTAAATAAGGGGCGAATAAAAATGTACCAGAATCACAGAACCTAAACTCGAACACTGACCTACAGCAACGGTGGTTCGTACATAAGTATTTTTTGCTAAAAGACTGACAATATATGCTTTCTAGATTCAATCTTAAATGCTCATCTTACCTTCGTATGCGAACTAAAACTTGCACGCAGTTTATTATATATAATAATTAAAAAAACCAAAAAACCTATGAGTGTTATCCCCCTTGGTTTGTCCCAAAAATATATCGCTGAAATAAATGCTAATTTCATTTTGTTATGGATATTAATTCTGGGACACATGTGATCGGAAGTAAGCCTCGCTATGGATTTTTCATTGTGCGCGGTTGATTTAAATAGCCTCTATGATACTACTTAATCGTTGAACTTGTTATAAGCTTTGGCTCCCGTTCGGCGGTAAGTAAGAGGTTCTGCACGTTAATACTATTCATTTCATAGTGTTGAATATATGTTTATCTTTTCTGATGTTGTTATCTTTCAAATACTTGTAATGTAATTTGGTTCTGTTTTTTTTTTTTATTTAAAAGACAACTGAAGTTTATTTTTTCATTGCTTTAGTTTTTAACTTCGTTTTGAAAATTTATTTTTAGTTTATTATTAACTACGGTGTTTTAACTTTTTTTTTTTTTTTTTTTTTTGTTTCCTGAAACGAAAAATTTTATATATCGCGATCAAGTAATACTACAAAACAATTTTAAAATTAAATCAAATTTTACTCCAAAAAAAGGTAACATGAAGTCTCTAGTCTTTTATTTTTTTTTTTTTTTTTTTTTTTTTTGTCTAAAAGGTACAGTAACTTGTTATGAAAATTATGCTTGCTTGTGTCAATCCTGTCCGTCGTCTTTTACGATTATTCGTGTTGTCTAATAGTTATTTACAACTTATTTTATGTTTCTCTTAGCAATTTTACAATACATAAACTTAGAAATTACCAGAGTTGAGCTGCTGTTTAGCGTTTAACTATTAAAAAAAATAATTTATTTTAAGGTGATGTTAACTAAAAGCCATTTAAGCCTTTTTTAATTATTTGCAATACTTATACTTCGCAATGAACTTAAAATACGTTATATTACACAATCCGCATGTGTTTTCATTTGTTTTTCTTAATTCAATCCCGGCTCTCATAGTGCGATATAGCCCACCCATCCTTCCCTTCCCCCTGCTTCCAGCTCGCATTCACAGAAATGTAGTCAATTTAAGTGACGTCCTCTTGAAATTAATGGAACTTCGAAATGTTAATTTGAAAATCCAAGTTTATCTTGGAGGAAAATAAATTAACACTTAACTTATTAGCTCGAGATCTAATTCCATGATGTGCACAACTTTAAATATGTCAGTCTCGTCATTCAATCCCAACTGTCCCGTTCTCGTGTGTCAATCTGCTGTTGTATTTTTAATCTTTGTCATTTTAAAAGTATATTTGTCTTGGTTTGAGATTAGCATTTTGAAGTTAACTGCTTCATTTAATTTAAAATTGAACTCCAGGAAGCGGATTTCAATTTTACATGATGGAAAAAAAAGTTTGTCTCTAGTCTAGTTTGACTGTGACCCAGATGTTGTTTAATCTCTTTTAATTGGTCTCGAGATCTAAAATCTTTTTACACGCAAAAATTTTGAATTTAACTGAAAAAAAAAACTTTTAGTAAAGTTAAAAGTAAAATGTCTTTGTCCCCCTCGTAATTTGGTGTGCTTGAAATACGAATATATTTCTGATTGCCGTGCATAAATTTCTTCGTAATTATCTTGGTTTTGCCCCCACCAGATCCTACGTGTTGTTTTTTTTAGTTTTTTTCTTTTTGTTGTTGTGGAGTGTCTGTTTTCAAAGTTGACAATTCCATACCAGTCTTTTACAAACTGGTTGCACTGAGTTGTTTCCCTACGTATATTAAATCCATGTTAAAGAAAAAAAAGGGGGGGCACTCATCAATTCGAAGCAACGCAAACCATAGTTTGAGAACGATTTTTTTTTTTTTTTTTTTTTTTTTTTTTTTTTTTTTTAGCGTATGAGACACCAAAAACTTTATCTATCCTTGTAGGTAGTCTTTAATTGGCTTAATATAATTTCTGTATCCATACAACTCTGCGTGAAAGTCAAACCATAGGGGTACTGCGTTCATTTCTTTGGTCAGGGTTCAATGCATCTTCAAAATGGTTGTTACCTGCTACCTGTTAGCCATTTAAAATCATACTAGTTTTTATCAATACTTAAATTTTCTCTTGTAATTTACTTTTTTAAGTTGTTCATTTTTGGATAAAATGAAGCTATTTTCACTTAGACTCTTTGAATTGCTATTATCTCGGTCACTTTTCATAAATTAACTGAAATTTACTTTTTTTTTTTTTTTTTTTTTTTTTTTTTTTTCTTTTAAATTTTGGTCACTTGTCTATTAAAAAAAAAAAAAAAACTTTTAATGGTCAGTAAGTATTACTTACTGAAAACTGACACATTTTGAATGTCTCCTTTTTGAAACTCTTTTTCTTATTTGAAGAGGTACATGGTCTAGAGCTCTTTGTGTGTGTGTGTATATATATATATATATATATATAGTTAATTAACATTGCCAGTTACTCACCAAACTCCATTTTTGATGACAAATGTAAAAATGTCTTAAATCCTGTATTTGTCTTTTGTTTCAAAGTCGGTACTAAAATTAAAAAAATTACTATATTTAAAAAAAAAAAAAAATATATATATATATATACTTGAAGCATCATAATCTGTGAACTGTCATAATTATATTAGCTTCCTATGCTAGGAAATTTGTCCTGGCTTTCCTGCTTCAAAGGGTTGAGGTTTAAAAAATTGCAACAAAACGCAAGTAAAACAAGATTAGAGCAGACAAACTGCCTCTTTTAAGCACATACGAATAAAGGAAACTCCTGCTCTGTGAGTAACAATAAGTGTTTATTTACATATACAGAAAAAATGGTAAAGGGATAAAAGGACAGTGAGAGAAAGGGAAAAGAGAATGTTCTTTAAAGGAAGAGAAAATGTTCATCACAGAAAAGGGCTTGCTCAAAATATTTCTCTTAACATAGAATTTTGTTACGGTTCAGATAGAAACACTAACAGTTCTTGTAGGAAAATTGTTCGCAAACATAGGAATCTTGCAGTTGAGTGAGTTCGTAGGTCAACGACAAATCTGTGGGCTCATCAGGAGTGGTGAAGGGATGCAGCATTGAATTGTGGACTGACGTTCGTTCTTGACAGCTCTTTAGTAGGTAGTTCTTCTCTGGTTGAAAGAGGTACTAAAGTTGACTGGAGCTCCCTAATGTCAACCTTACAGATGGTGGGCAGAATTTTCAGTCAAATAGGCAAGATTCTCCAAATTTATGGAGTTTTGGTAGGCTCGGACTAATCAGGGACTTTTCCCTCAGCAATCATTGTACAAATTTCTTGGCCCCTCTACTGGTCAGAAAATAGATCCTTATCTCTAAGAATCGGGATGTGGGAGCTGGGTTTGTAAGGTTGGAGTGAACAAACTGAGGTTTCCCCCTAGACCTTATGGCACCATGGAAAGAATAATGGTGGTGGAATTCCTTTTTATATTTTCCAGCTCTCTAGTTAGCTAGAAAATATTTTTATCTCTGGTAAGAATCAAGGCTTTGGGAGCTGGTTTTGAAAGTAAAGAGGTTGGAGTGTGGATAGAAAAAAATAGCGAGAATGTGAACTTGTAAAATTATTGCTCTCAAATTAAATTCCAACACCTAATGTTAGCACTCGAAGGATAAACTTTACATCTTTCAGTTCTTGAAATAACTTCATTTAGTACAAAAATCCTTTATTGGAGGAATTTCAGAACTGCAATCAAAAATTACAAATACTTATCAATATAGTTTGTTTTTTGTTTTGCCCGTGTTTTACTAAACAATTCAGTTATGTATTTGGCAGTTTTTATAGAGGCTTTCAAATCTGTTATTAACCTTAAAAAGCATGGTCAAATCCACACACCACCACACGTGGTTGCATTTGGGATAGTATTCATCTATAAACACAAATGTAAATATTTGCCAGAATAAGTGAATTTAGTAGTGTAGTCCATTTCTCAGTTTATTAACTCTAAATATATAGAATTACCCCTTTCACTACTAAACTTAATGGTTGCAATCAACTTGTTGGTTTCTTGTCATTAACTGTCAATTCTGGTTACTTCTGATTATATTTGAAATTGACTTAAAATAGTCTGTAGTAATGGAACTCACTTTATTAGAAAGGTAGCTTGGGAAAATGTGAAAAATTTCAAACTTAGAAAAGCATTTTCTTTTCTTCTATAGCTATGACTGTTATCCCAGTGAAAGTAGCAGTGCGGTGTCGACCGCTTGTGCAGAAAGAGGAAGATGATGGAAATCTTGTTTGTGTGCATTTTCCAAGTAATGCACCAATGATTGTAGTTGGTAAAAAGCCATTTACCTTTAACTATGTCTTTCCACCAGAAGTTGGCCAGGAAGCTGTTTATGAAGAAACAGTCAATCCTTTAGTTGGTAATATTATTAAAGGTGAGTTTTTTTTGTTTTGTTTTTATAGTCTAATTGTAAAATTTCATTTTCTGAAATGAACTATAATGAAATGAGATATATGAAGCAAACTTCATAAAATTTGTTTGCTAAATGCTGTAAACTGTACGACAGTAGGTAAGGGTAATGTATTAAAATAGGTACCTCCATGAGATCGCTAAAAAAGAGCATAGCATGATAAAAAGACACCAAACTTGAAAAACAATTTTATCGTCTAAATGCCTATCTTATTATTAAGAGGAAAGATCAGTTTTTTATTTTTCTAAAAAAAAATTTCCTGTTTAGAACATTTTAAATTTTGATTAACAAGAAACCTTGTTTCTTTTTGTATCACCAGAACTAGTAAAATAACACAATTTTTTTTTTTTTTTTTTTTTTTTTTTGATATGCATTAATTTGGAAAATCTTGCAAACATAAAAATAATTGTCGGATGTTAATGACTTTCAGAAACTATTCACAGATGATTGAAATTTTTTTTTTTTTTTTTTTTCAGTCATAGCAGAAATTTTTTTATTAGTAACTAAATTTATGAAAACGCTAAATTCGATTGCATCAGGTTTAGTTATTACAATAGTTAAAAGCACAAGGCTTTGAGGAATGCAAATTTTTTTTTTAATTGGACCCCACCAACACCAGCTCTGAATTGTAACATACAAATCTCAAAAGAAATATATTTTATTTTCAAATGCTTTTAATAGTTTTTATGAATATGGACAATATTTTCTGAAAGCAAATTTTTTGATGAAGAATGAATTTTTAATACAATTATTTGTTATCTCTTTAATTATAATAGATTTTTACATTTAAATTGGTAATATTTTGAGAACTTACATGTAAATATCTATTAAGGACACTTGGGGAAACCTGATGCGGCTTTTCATTTTATAGTATTTTATAAAATGAAAAGCCATACCGGGTTTCCTGTTTAGCACGTAAATTGTATCATTTTGACGGGTCATAAGATCTGCAGTAATTAAATGTAATTAAAGCATGGAACACTAACCAGAATACAATTAAGTTGTGTTATTTGAGTTAAGCATTGTTCTCTGCTGTTAAGGCCTTTACTTTTGCGAAACACGTGTGGAGAAGCTAATTTTTTTTTTTTTTTTTTTTTTTTTTTTAATTGCAGCTGAGAAGGGTACTACAAGTATCGGTATCCTCTTATGAAATTTATATGATCTTATTTTTATATTGATCTCAGTTATGACATTTTTCCATAAATGAAATATCAATTTTAATAATAAAATGAACAGAAACACAAATAACATTGAATACTGAAATTTTATCAGAAGTGAACATAAATGCTATAATTTTATGTGCATTTATTACATTTCAATGTGTTATTTGTATTTCTATCCATTTTATTAATTTTGATATTTCATTTATGGAAAAGTGTCATAACTGAGATGATATAAAAATAAGATCATATACATTTCATAAGATAAGTGCCTAATACTTATAGGTACCATTCTCAGTTGAAATTGAAAAATCAAATTAACCTTTGCACGAGTGTTTTTTGCATGAACAGTTCCAAAAAAAAAAGTAACAGAAAGGAACAATACTTTGCTATGACATGTTATTGTTTTCATGTATGGTCTAAAGTAGATTTGAATTAAAGCCATTTTATGGATACAAAAGCCATGCAAATTGGATTTTTAATAAACTGGTGGTCAGTTGATTGTAATAAGCTTTACAATTCATAATCTGTAAAGATAGATCTACTTAATAACACCATTGACTAAACTGTACGCTATTTTTATTAATTTTAGAATATATAATAACTTGAAGTAAAATAATGTAAAAAATAATGTAAAGAAATAACATTGTTTTAAAATTCATTTTTCCTCAAGTTTTTTTACTTTCAGAGACAATATTATCCATATTCATAAATCAAACAAAAGCAACTAAAAGCATTTGAAATTAAATATCTTTGTTTTATTGAGTTTTGTATCCCATAGAAGAATTGCATGTGGATGAAATGGAGGAACACGAACCAGTTCCCCTTTGAAGAAGCACTTGACATAAGGGACCCACTCCAAGATGTTGTATCAGGGGATCAAGTGCGGACATGTCTGTCAAAACCAGTTACATCTGAGTTTTAGCAGTAGAACAGCTTGACATGTTCAGATACAGGCCTCTCTGCAACTTGTCTAGATTCAGGTTTCTGACAGTGTCTTCTGTCACTAAAAGGATGGGGAAACCAGTGATGGAAGGTTGGCAATACTTAGTATCTTGGGAAGTTGATCCCATGGGCAAAATGTGATGCCACCTGCCATGTTGTTTTTTCTTGGTGTTATTTTGTTACCTTCTGTCTCTTTCCCTTTTCTATCTATTACCTGTCTCCCTGTTTGGGAGAGCAAACAGATATTTCCTCCAAACTCAACACACCCTTGCCATACATTGCAGCAAGAGAGTTATGTTGTATTGACAGATTTGGCAATATGGCTGATTTTAGCAATTTAAAAAATATAATTCCAATCAATTCAAAATTCTCACATTTTCACACTTGAAAATGGCATTAAATACTTTTTTAATTCAAGTGTCTTTAATAAAAAGATCTCTTGTACAAACTGCAATGTGATGAATTTCAAAATTGCACTGAAAAATTACAAGTAATTTTTAAAAGTATAAATATTAAGTGTATTCTTTTTTTGCCCAATAGAAAATGTTTTAAATTTTACAAGCTCCAGATGTTAGCAAAATCTTTTGAGTTTTTAATTTTTGGCAAGGTTTGGGGCAAATTTTCCATATGTTCACATTTGATATTGTATAAATTCTTTTACTGAAATAACATCTTCAGGGATTGTTCTTTATACAACTAAAATAAAAAAATAAAATAAAAATTGCCCCACCCCTCCCATTCCCCCATTAAAAAGTACATACAAGATATTAAAAGGCTGGTGAAACAGGCTGCCCTCTCCCCACCAATATTTCCACAAAACTTTCTAATAAAGTTTCTTTCCAGTATAAAAATCAGTCATTAGTAAATAAGTACTAAAAATTTTGTCTGATTTTGTAACTAAAAATCATGCTTGATTCTGCAAGTGAAAAAATATTTACTGATTTTAAATCAACATCAGTCACCTTAAAGCTTAGTATAGTCTGGCACAAGGCCACAGTAAATAAGCATGACATATCACTACATTTGCAAATTATTAGGTGCCATCAAAATGAGTGCATTTTTTTCCAAAATGAAAGCAAAAATTTGTTACCCTGTTTTAAAATATTTGCCAAATATCAAGGAATTATTGAAATCAGACAAAATTTTCAGAACAAAGTTATAGTATCAAATACTATCTATCAGCATGTTGGTTAAAAAAAATCTATTAACCTGGTGAATTAACTAAAGTACATAAAAGATGATTGTACTCAATTATTCTCTTGTACTTTCTTTTGTTTATCTTCTCCTTGTAATGTTCTAGAAATAGTTTTGATTTCAAAGAGGAATAAAATAATCAGGATTCAATCTGCCATAAACTTAGGTGTTTTATTTTGTTTCTTTTTGTATTGTGGTGCTTTGCCATGGAAAAATGATTAGCAAACTAGTCACTAAGGCAATTTCTACTGAGAGTTTGAGCCTAACTGGGTGTTCCACACTTATGCCAGGCTAATTTTAGTAAATATCAACATTGAACATCAATGGGTAGTCTCATAAAGCACTGATACATTTAGCAGTTGACGTACTTTAGTTAATTCACCAGGTTAATAGATTTTAACCAACATGCTGATAGATAGTATTTGATACTATAACTTTGTTTCAAGGCTGTAAGAAAAAGTAAGTCTTCAAGCTACTGTCTTTATATTTTTGCATATTAAAAAAAAAATACTTATATAAACTAAATATTTTTTATTAATTTCTACTGAGGTATCTTGATACAAAATCTCTTATACTAATGAAAACTTCTTGAGTCAACCAAAAATGCCTAATGGCTTAGTCAGATTTTGGAAAATTGGATCAGAACAAGTTTTTCAACACCCACTCTATATATAAAATATAATACAATTATATATCCCATTTATATTCATCCATCAAATTGACATCACAGTTGGGGTAATAGCATAATTGTGACTTCCCTGATCCCTTTGGCTGCATAATGTGCTTTGATAGACCTATATATGAACCATGGGATTTAACTATATATGGACCATGGGATTTAACTGCTATATATGAATTTGAATTCAGTTTCTCCTCTATGATTGGCTGTCAACCACAGCTAGAGATCCCAGTCAATCCTACTATTGAATACAGAGCTGGGTGGGTGGAAGAAAAGATATTCATGCCTTTCTCAAGGTTATTTGTGTGAAAGTGAATGTAACTAACTTGATTGTAATTTGAACTTGGCTCATTGATTTCTTGTTCCAAGCCACTAAACATTACACCACCTGCACATCTTGTATGTATCCATATATATTTAAGTGTTAAGAAAAATATAGAATTAAATTAAAAATTTGTAATAAAATTTTATTAAAGTCTTTAAACAATATCTATTTTAATATTATTTTCTTTAAGTGTAATCTTAGCCAGAAAACATATGTTAGAAATATGATAGAAACACCTAATTTTGATTGATTGAATTAGGCATCCAATTTGCTCTATTTGGATGACCTCAAAGGTACAAACTCAAGGCAGGTGAGACGCATGGCTGATTAAATAGCTTTTGTTGCCAACTTGTATTGGGTCTTTGTGCATGGATTAATTCAATTTGAAATCCAGTTTGGGGTTGGCTGCATTGTTAGCCGAGGTGATGCATTAGTGAACTTCAGTCAATCAGGCATTAATTTGCATGTCATAAGCTGCTTGCGAGTTCATTATGGGGTAGTTTAAGTAAACCAATGTTGGTTTGTCTGCCAGTGATGCACTGGTAGTGCTGTTGATGGGGGTAGCATTCATAGAAGAAACAACAGATTCAAGGACATCAGTCCACTCAGTCTCTTGTCTTCATAATAACATGTAGAAAGAATGTTTCATTGTGTGATGTTGTTGCTCAATGTTACCAGAGTTTTGTGGCTGCCACTTCCTGTGTAATTGAGGTTAACTTGCAAGATTTTTGAACACCACTCTCTCATGAGGTAGGTTCCATGATCAGAGAATACAATGCATGGTATTTTCCAATGGTGAAAAAAAAAAGTGTAAAGTCTGTGGGCAGTATTGATTGACTGGCCTCTGGTGCAAAGGTATGTCAGATGTTGACTGATTTTGTCAAGAATGGTTAGAATTTCACTTTTTGGCTGTTCAAAGCAAAATACTTGCTGTAAAAAAAAAATTCAATGAACAAAAGTGCATACAAATTACATATTTAGATTTTCTTTCCAGCCATATGAATATTTTTAAGATTGGACCAGAAATACACAAATTGCAGGTTGAACTAAGTTGCAAATTTCTATATCTCAAATGAAATAAGATATTGACTGGAAATGCTATCGTTACACAAGAAAATGAATGACCTCCTTAGAAAACAAAAATACTAAATTAAAAACCAAATCGAAAACTGGTATCGAGAAAAAAAAACACTAGAAACCAATACTGAAACAAATTGTCTAATTGCCGAATTCTAATCTACATAACAATGCTTGTTTCTGGGTCGGTAATTTAGTGATTTACCAAACGTGGCATAAAGGTGAAAGTCTGAAGCACTCGCTACTGTCATCGATCTAGCAAGACTGTTTAACTTATAAGAAATGTTTTATACTAAGTACATCTCTTGGTATATCTATAAATTGTATGTGTGGTTCAAAAAACACTTTGGGTTCACAACCAACCTGGAAATTAAAGAATTTAAAATTTAAAGCATAATTTTAAAATGCTTTCTGTTCCTGAATTTGTTTTAGGTTACAATGCTACAGTTCTTGCTTATGGCCAGACTGGAAGCGGAAAGACTTACACAATGGGTGGTGCATACAGTGGTGTTGATATCGATACAGTAACCGGAATTATTCCTAGAATTCTTAGTGATCTCTTTGTTTCTTTTGCTGAGAAGGACACCCATGAATTCAATGTTTCAGTTTCCTACCTTGAGGTAAGTTCATATCTCACCAAGATGTATTAAAATATCTTGAGTCTTTTACATACCATCGAATACTTATATAATTAGGGACATGTACAGGGAGGGGGTTAAACTGTGTATAATTCTATCCTGAACATAACATTGGCAATGATTTAAATTGAATAGTACTTTTCTATTGTATATACGTGAACTTTTTTTTTTTTTTTTTTTTTTTCTTTAGCATTTGACACTAAGGCAATTAATGATCTGTGGGCAGTAAGATAGTAAATCTTGTGTAATTATTTCTTATGTATAGCTTAACCCTTTTGGGCAAGTTTAATGAGAATTGTAGAGATCTAATATCTGAAAACAGCAACATTTGGTAAGGGTGAAAAATGCTTTTAAATTTTATTTCTGCAAAGGTCATTAGATTTTTTTTTCCTCTGGGCTTCATTTTTGGAATGAAAATTCTCACATCACTAAATTTTGAAGTACACTTAGTCCCTTTTTTTTTTTTTTTTTTTTTTTTAAGGGAGATAACCAGATCCGAATTTAGGACATTATCATTGATAACTCTCTCCTCCAATTTGTGGGCATTAGATATTATATTAATTATCACATTAATATAATCTCACTACTGGCATGCCATGTTGGCCAAGAGAAATTAATATGACCAATCTATTACTACTACTCATACAGCCAATAACAAATACAAAAATAACACAGCTTAGCAATAAAGTTATTACCATATATTCAACCATGACTGGTGGGTGGTTGTTTACTGTAGAGCAAATTGAAACCTATTGTTTTAAGCTATTTGCTTTATTACTTCATTCTGTGGTCCTAGAAGATCACAACCATGTTATGAGAGTAAAATTATCAAGAATTGTAATGAATCTAAGTTCAGTGTTGAAAGTAGAATTTAATCACTTAAGTGTCATATTCAATTTTAGTTAAAATTACTATTTTCCTATCAGCTACAGTACAGTCTACATGTGTTGTAATTGACATACAGCATAATTGGTGATATAGAGCATTCCCTCTCCCTGTCTATATATATATATATATATATATATATATATATGAATGAGAGCATTCCCTGTCCATGACTGTATATATAGAGCACCATTCTCATAGTCCATAGAAGCAACATTTTGGCTCTCTGTAGAAATTTAAAGTATTTAAACTTGTTAATGTAATAAGTTTCGTTTTCATGTTCTTTATTAAATATAGTAGAATATCTACTTATTTTACCTTTTGCCCAAGCAAAGCAATAAAGCTTTAAAAATGCAATGTATTACTGAGTGCAAAATGAGAATGAAAAACATCAGAAAGAAAAGAGGAATTAAGACAAAATATTAACATTGCATTTAATTTTTAAGATCACAATTGACTGGCATTAAACCTGTCTACATTTTAAGCTAAGTTGACTTTGTAGAGTAAACAATAGATTTTGTTCATGATAAATGCTTAAACATGTTTTACAGTTATGATCCTTTATACAAAGGAATCTATCTTCCTTTCAAGATTTACAATGAAGAAGTTCGTGACTTACTGAACATGAATAACAAAGATCCTTTGAATGTCAGAGAAGATGCAAGTGGAATTAAGGTAACAGAACAATGTCTGTATTTTGTCCTCCCTCTCCCTCACATATTATAAATTTAACTTTTTTTCTCTTTTAAGCAGAAAATGAAACGTGGAAATGGTTCTGGTATTTTTCTTTAAGCCTTTGAAGCATCCATTATGTATAATTTATGTAAACATGGTTGTAACATGGAAACAAAGCAGGGCAGGACATGTATAGATAGATATAGATGTGTGTGTAATACTTATATCACTGTTCATAAAATTCAATACTTAAAGAACCTGTTTACTTATAGCCATAGATGGTATGACCTAAATTCTTTTGCTCTCACACATTCCCTCACACACTACCAGGCATAAAGATGCATGCAAATTATCAATCTAATCCTACTTAGACCAACTAGAATAGGGTATTGTACAACACACAAGAATTATACAGATGAGCACTTCTTGATGGATTAGTGTTTAACCAATGAAAAACCAAAACATCAGAATCTTTTCTCTTTATTTCATTTTCTGAAGCTTGGAAAAAGTGAAACTTATTTTGCTCCGTTTGTTCCTTATACTATCATAGTCAGATTCTAATCCATATTTGATCTTAAATCTGATCTGTATCTAATTACTTCTATATTTATCTTCTGACAGATTCCAGGCCTGAAGGAAATACCAGTAACTGACTATAATTCTACTATGAAATGCCTTGAAACTGGTGTCATGACTAGAACAGTAGGTGCTACTGCGATGAACTTGGTGTCTAGTCGCTCCCATGCCATTTTCACTCTTTATGTTGACATCACAAATAAAAATGATGAGTAAGTATTTATTTTTTATAATAATTCAATGACATTTTCTTGCCCATGAAGATTTAAATTAGAATTTTTTCCAAAGGCATAATTAATTTCAACTTTGAATTTCATGCATTGATCTAACTAAAAACATAAGTGGCTTGCTATTCAATTAATATGCTTCAGTTTAAAAAAAAATTTACAAATACACAGAATGCAAACTTAAATATTCTGTGAACTAAAAATTTTTACTTAGAATAAGATAAAAAATATAAATGCTAAGCATTCAATTCAACTGAAATACTCGTCTTTGCAGAAATGAGTGTTACAAGTCCAAGTTACATTTGGTTGACCTTGCTGGATCAGAACGAATAAAGAAAACTCTTGCTGAAGGCAGTAGATTGAAAGAAGGTTTGTCTCTGTCTCTGTGTGTGTGCGCGTCTCTGGTGCTTTTTATTTTTTCCTTTTTTTTACAGACCTTATGTCTGACATTGTTGTATACTCAATTTAGTATGTTTATGCAGATTGTTAATCTTTAAAATTATCGATTAACAAACTTGCTACTTATACAGGACACAAAGCAAGGGTTTAATTTAGCCTCATACTTTTTGTCATAACCCTTTTTAAAAAAAAAAAAAAATAAACAAAATACACAAATGACTTCCTAAAAAGATGCTAACTTTAATCTTTTGGTGTGAAGTACCACAGAACTTATTTTTAGTTGATTATGTATAAAACCAACCAGAATAATAGGTTCTATGACTTGTCTTAATGTCATTTGACTGCTAAATTCCTCAAGTTACTCATTATGTATTAGTCTATTATCATAGTGATATGCTTTTAACTTAAATATCATATTCAATGGTATTCCTTTCAGTTAAGTAAATTACCATTTAATTTATTTACTAGTTATGTACTGTTCTAAAATAACATTTCAATTCTGTACCTGCAGCATTCATTAATGTGGACAGTTTCCTGTCATTTTACTGCATTCAAATTTAATTCTTTAGCTTACATCTTACTTCACAAAAATTGTTTCTGCAAAAATAACTAAACTTTTAAGATGGTATTAATCTTGTGAAGAACCTAAACTCCCTCTTTGCAGGTTTCTCCAAGTAAACTCTGAAATATACTATAAACACCACATAAGCTAATCCTGGATGTAGTTTCTTGTGGTTTGATGTTGGACTCATAATTCATAGCTGTGAAATATGTAATTGCTTTCCATACACCCTTCTTCCTTGGGAGAAGGCTACAAGTATTGCCATAACTCCCAAATTAACCCTAAATGACATTTTTTTTTTTTTTTTTTTTTTTTTTTTTTTTTAAACAAAATCTTACAGGCATTAACATCAACAAAGGTCTTCTCTGCCTTGGGAATGTAATCAGTGCACTTGGTGAAGACAGCAAGCACATACCTTATAGAGATTCAAAGTTAACTCGTTTACTCCAAGGTAAGAATATTCTTGTTTTGGGACTTGTGTTGAAATTTGTCTTGGATAAGTTTTTATAGAATATTTAATTTATGAAAGATTGCAAAAAGGACCACTTTGATAACTTTGAATGTCAGATTAATGGCAATTTCTAATTGCCTCAAGGTTACCTCTTTTATTCTAAATCCGTGTAATGTTCAAAATGTAATGTTTGTCTGAATTATTCTTTTGTGTGTAAATGGGAGATTGATGTCTGTCTGTCCTTCTGTCTGTCACAAATATTCAACGTTTCTTGGGCTTTTTTTTTTTTTTTTTTTTTTTTTTGCTTTTAACATGAAATGTTGTGTTCTATAACATTGTTGCCTCCTTAACTTATTTGTTATGAATTTTCATAAATTGTTTCATCTCTCTCTTACCACTTACAGATTCTTTGGGAGGAAACAGTTATACACTGATGATAGCTTGTATTAGTCCTGCTGACTCTAATATGGAGGAGACTTTGAACACTCTTCGATATGCAGATAGAGCCAGCAAAATAAAAAATAAGCCTCTTGTTAATCATGATCCTAAAGTGGCTGAAATTATCAATTTGAAAAATCAGGTTACACAGCTGCAGATGGATTTACTGAGTGTAACTGGTGGAAAAACGTAAGTAAACAACTCTAATGGCAAATTTCTATTTAGATAAATCTATTGCAAAGTCTGACTATACACTTGCTTTAAATATCAATTTACTATAATAATTCTGCATGGCTAAAATTTTTTCTTTTTTTTTTTTTTTTTTTTTTTTTTTTTTTAGTGAAACAGCTTACAAGGAATTGAAAGAACGCGCTGAAGAACTTGAGGTAAACAGAATTTCCATAAGTATCTGTGTGATGAATTAGAATTAATGAGATCCAAAATTTTTACCTGTTAGGGATATATCTATTTTGCACAACTAAATTTTACTTCAACTTTAGTGATTACTCATGCAGTATTTCTCTTTTTAGAGACAAAATAATGATCTAACTAAGGAACTACATGTATCGCTGGAGCGCAACACCCAACAATGGGAGCAAATAATGCAATTAGAATCTTGTTGTGAAAAACAAAAGTCTCACTTGGAATCCCTTTTGGAACTCTGTGGGTAAGTCACATTATTTAAAGCTTTGTGGAAAGGAGCATTCAGATTCTCTCGTGAATATTGTCTGTTATATCCCTTCGAATATGAAAGTTGGGGTTTTGGGACACAAATTGACTGGACAGTGAATTTACACTAAATCCTTTGATTCCTTGGTTTTAATCAATTTTGTTTTCTCTTTAGGAAATTGACTGAGAAAGAGAATGAAGAGGTGGCTCCTCTCAAAGAAAACTATGACAGTATAAAAAATGCTGTAAGTATCAAAACATACCGCAAAAATGGTTAAAACACTTGCAAAGGTCTTTTGAACAAATCTTCACTTTTTCATATGCAAGAATTTTCTCAGCTTTTGCTTATCAGCACCTAATTTTGCTTTAGTGTCTTATGCTTTAAACCATTAGGTTTTTTGTGGAGGATGTAATGCATGTGTGCAAGCATCAGTAGTGTACTTGTTAAAAGACTGAGCATCTTTAATTAGTTGCTTTTCACACACTATATATATATATATATATATATATATATATATATATATATATATATATAGAAATATATTGTATATACATCACCATATAGGACATGGTAATTGCAATGCTAATAACAATCATTTTTTTCTTTGAAGAGATTCAATATGCTTATCCATCAACATTATCCTTTCAACAATCCAATTCCAGTTTGACATTCTCTGATTTTATTTGTGTTCCTGTTGAATATTATTAATCATTTTATAAGAAACTCATTCATACTTGTTATCAAATACTCCTACAGTTTCTCTAATCTTAAGGTTCTCAGATTCACCAGCAACTATTGCATTTGGCAAATCAGATTATTCAAAGTTTTCATTAAATATATTTGAATAAAAATTATATTGACTTTGCATAGTCGCACAACTAAATTCATTTATACCATTCTAATGTCCTGGTGATGCTCCCCTACTGACATTGCTAATCTTACATCCTGACACACCCACTTTATTGGGAAGTAAATGAAGTTGTACTGCTATTAAATTTTCTTTTGAACTCACCTTTTTCAAATCTGAACTTAAGTTAGTGATGACATTAATATGGTGAATAAACAAAGATGTGATGGCTGGTGCCACAAATATTGACTTATTTAAAAACTATGGATTCTAATTTTTAAATTGTAACTTTTCTTCTCTTGCATCCAGATTGAATGTCATACACTTGCTAAACCAGTGTTTGAAGAATCTTCTATAGAGGTAAGATTAAAATGTTTTTGTCAACTTGATACTGAATTTACGACTCGATTCTGATCTTCCAGCCATAAGATATTATTCCATCTTTTATAGATGACTGCAAAAGTTTTTTTCTCTTCAATCTAAACCTTAGAGGAGCACTTCTTAGACTGGTCCAGTCATTAAAAAATCTGAAAGTACTTGTAGATTAACATTTTTAAACACTTCTCAGACTTTGATGGCATTTATCAAAATAAGATTGGATTTATCAATTTAGAGTAGAGGGTCCAGTTTGTCAAATCTAGTTATTGGTCTTCAAGATTTGTATGAAATTAGATTGTAGCTGATGTTTACCCTTATTTGGAAAAATGGCATTAGGTAAGTTACTGACAAGCAGTTAATTTTTCTAACCATTGGCTATCAATGTTAACTACCTTTCTTTTTGCTCAAGCTGTATAATTCACTTGAGCCAGAAATTAACCCATCATGCTCTAATGCAGGAGTTTTCAAACTTTTGACTTGCAGACCCCTTTATATTTCAGGTTTTACCTTAAGGACCCCCTTATAAACGTTTATGAAATTTATACATAAATATTTGCTGAATATAACAATTTTGCATTAATGCAAACGCCTAACAGCCAAGAAAGCCGGAAATCACAAAATAGATCCAAAATTCAAATCCTTTGGTTCCTTCTCTGTATGAATAGAATCATTATCTTTATCAATTTAAGATACAAATTATATTAGTATATCAAATCTATGAAATAGTTTATTGAACCAATTTATTTCATGATCGGCCTATAAGTTTCACGTCACCCATAAAAAAAAAAGTTTGCTGTCCACACACCCCCCATCTTGTCCTTGCAGACCCCGTGTGGTCTGCAGACCAGTTTGAAAACACCTGCTCTAATGGACTCTGTCTGCTAAGGAGGATCATACATTATGTCTCTCTGCTGTTTTACCAACTCCTCTAAAATTAAATGATCCACATAATTGTCACATTTAACCATAACCCTTTCATGTGGGAAAGCTAGGACAAATTTTCTACAATTTCTATGGATAATTTGTAATTGTAAACTGGCAAGGAGCTTATTCAAGCATTAACTCAAGACTGGATTAATCACAAGATCTTTGTTCTACTACTCTCACACCTGCATTTGAATTTGCAGCCCAGTACAATTTGTCCCTAGAGTTTAATGGTCACACTGAGACTCTGAACTACTCACAGCACAGAATGACTTGGAGTTTAAATATTAGAAATACCATGAAAATTTCATGGTTTTCCTATTTTAATCTTGTGATTAATCCAGTCTTGAGTTAATGCTTGAATAAGCTCCTTGCCAGTTTACAATTACAAATTATCCATAGAAATTGTAGAAAATTTGTCCTAGCTTTCCCACATGAAAGGGTTATGGTTAAATGTGACAATTGATAAAAGCAACAGTGGCTTGAAAGATTAGAACAGACAATTTTCTCCATTTTAGGCAGATTAATGAAGACTAATTCCTGCTTGGTGTGTAACAAAAGAATGTTTATTTACATGCACAAAAGATTAAGGGATATACACAAATGAGAGGAGGAAAGGGAGGGAAAATTACCTTTATTTTAAAAAATGTTCATATAAAGGCTTGCTCAAAATATTTCTCTGAGCACCTAAAAGTTCTGAGTAGATTGTTCTTAAGAGGTTAACACTTGCATAAACTTCTTCAGAGCTCTTGTTGAGGAGGAAACTGTCAGAAGATTCAAATTTTGTAGTTGAGTTCATAAGCTGACTACAGGAATTTCTAGGTGAAAGGAAGATCTCAATTAGTCTTTAGTAGTGGGCCAACCTTCTGTCTTTATAGCCCACTGGGTAGATCCCTCTTGAAACTCATTTCAAAGATGACTGTTCTATCACTGACCTGAAGTTATCAAACTGTCAAGTACTCACTTCCAAAGAGGTGCATATTTCTGAGCCGTCTAATCTCCATAAATATGATTAGAAGACTCAGAAATATTGGAACTTTCCCTCCAAAATTGCTATACTTTTCCCAGCCCTATAATTTCAGAAAATATATCTAAGAATCAAAGGTTTGGGAGATTTGGGTCAAGGCTTTGGTAGCCAGGTTTGAAAGCATGAGAAAAAGTTAGTGGCGTGGATTAGAAAAAGGCCAGAATCAACTTGTGGAACATTGTAGTAGTTGTTCTCAAATTAAATTCTAATAAAATGACCATATTGAATCATTTAATATCTGAACAACTTAAACAAAATATTGTGATATCAGGCCCTCATTTAAAATGGATACAAATGAAGACTCGAAATTGACAAAATTTTCCATTTCATGGAGTCACTAGTTAAACACAAGTGTCATAGCCTGGGCTATCTTCCTTTTCTTTCAGTCTTTTTTTTTTTTTTTTTTTTCTAAACCAAACAGTATCTGTAATAACAATTCTCCAGTATTTATCAGGTATTGTAAGACATAACATGATCCTAAAGAATGAAGGATCAAATAGAATCGGTTTCTCGAGTTGCATGAAAGTTTTTGTAATTGATATAGAGTACCTCTTTAACAAAGTGACTTATTTCAAGCAGGTTAATCACGTAAGTTCTTTTTATTGTTGATAATCCCTGCTTCAATATTCAACTTTTCAAAAAAAATTTTTTTTTTTTTTTTTTTTTTTTTTTTTTTTTTTTAGGAGCCTCTTGAACATTCAGGCTTGGAAACAACAACACCAGATTCACAGCAGTTGAATGTGCAGCACACCTTAAAACAAGCTGCCATGACCCGAGAACTTGATGAAATTAATTGTATCTTGGCCAAAAAAGAACAATTGGCTAAACAGATAGCTCAAACAAATCTGGAAGAACTAAGATCCCAGTATGAGGTGAATTTCTGACTTTGTTTATAATAAAAAAAAAAATCATTAAGATTGAATTTTCATTTAAACTATTTAAACAATTTTTTCTTTATTCAGGCAGATAAAAAAGAACTAGAGATGAAAATAGCCAGTCTACTTGAAGAGAGAGAAAGCCTCCAATCTGCTCTGACAACAGTAAAATCTTCTAAAGTTGAAAAGTAAGTTTTTGTTGTTTTGTTTTTTTTTTTTTTTTTTTTGTATTTTTTTTTTAACAAATGTCACTTGTACAAAATGAGTCAGGTTGTCTAATTATCTTTACACTTTTCACTCATTTTCTCTGCCAATGCATATAAATTCGATATTTGTTTAGCAAAGCTCCTTTTAGTTGAGGAAAAATCATTAATTTTATTGAGCAATGTATTCATGGTTTTGTTCTATCTATAAGTAACTGCTTTCACAACCCTTTTTTTTTTTTTTTTTTTTCTTTAATGTCCAAAATGTCAATCCAGATACAGTATCTCACAACGTGGCAGCAGAATAAAACTTCCCATCTGTACTGCAGCAATTTTGACTACATTAACACTTGTTTCTTTGGTATTGTCCTGAAGGGATCTTTGACCTATATCAAGTTGAGATACTACTTAGTTGCTACTTATATAAAAAAGGAGGTTAATAAAATGCTATGTTAATTAATTAATTACTGATACTGTTTGAAGTGCAAGCTACCTGATTCAATGGTGGGTTTTTTTTTTGGTTTTTTTTTGTTGTTTTTTTTTTTTTTTTTTTTTTTTTGTAACTGTAGGCTGACATTGCCACCATTTGGCAGCAAATTCTTTTAGACACATCTGATTATGACTGGTTATTTTTATCATAATCCTTTCATAAACAAATATTTTTCCATGCATTACAATAGATTGAGACAATTTTGGGGGGGTTGTTTTTTTGTTTGTTTTTTTTTTTTTTTTTTTTTTTTTTTTAAACTGCTACACTGTATTTCTTGCCTTATTCAATTGTCTAAATTATGTTGTCTGCTTAGTTTATAATCTTTTCATGTTGATAAATATTCTCTCAATTACATTTGAACAAGGCAAGAAATACAGTGTATATTTTTTTTTTTTTAACACTGTCACAGTGCATTTATCTCATTCTATTGTAATGCATGGAGAAATATTTGTGTGGCTAGATATCCGGTTGCCTCTGTCCAAGATCGGAACCCGACTGAATTGGTGTTAGTTGGAGATTCTACCACTCAGCCGTCAGCATACGGCAGGGATGAAGGCAAATTTTTAGTTTATTTATTTTTAGATAAACACACAGACTCAACTCGCTTTTGCCGAAGTCTGGCTATATCAGCCATAATAGTCGGTTAACAAACCCACACCTCCTCACCAGTGTGTGTATATAATATATATATATATATATATATATATAATTCTGGGCTGTTCATTAATAGCATTGTCTTAAGTGTGTCTGTCCATTCATTTGAAGACAGAACTTTAGTGCATTTGGTGGTTCTTCTAACTTCAAACATTACTTGCATTTATCTTATGTATCCACTCCTACTTGTCTATTTTTAATGACAGTCCAGTAGGAATTTCATCTGCTTTTGTGCAAGCCACGCATGAAAGCAACATAACAGATCCAGGAAATGGATTCCAAATGTTATGTAGGTTCCAAGAGTTCCTTATGGATCTCACTTGGTTTATTCTAATATCATTCAGCTTGATCTCCATTGCAAAACTTAAAGCATTTTTGGCATGTTTTAATCATTGCCTTTTTGCAGCTTTTGTATTTACTTGAAATTAAGCCAATAAAATCCGGATTCCATCAAGCAGCCAGTATCATGTGATCTGTATCACCATAATGCTGTTAAATCCTTGAGTGAACACCTTCATCTTGATAAAATATTCAGGAATTCTCGCTCTGTCTCTGTGTGTGCATGCCTTTCTCGCTCTGTCTCGGCTCTGATGCAAATTGAGGGCTAGCTATTGAATTATTGCTAACTTGGGTTTAAATTATTGCAGAGTTAGTGAAAAACGTAGACAAAAACTGAAAGAACTGGAACAAAAAGTGGCTCAGCTGAAGAAAGAAATGATGGATAAGGAAAGAACTCTGAAATCAAAAGAAAACTCAGAAAAACAAGTTACAAACTTGAATGTTGAGATTCAGGTATAGATACATTTTACTTGGTTTTAATTATTATAAAAACTTGATTGTTCATTCTCTGCTTTCAATTTATAAAAAATACATTGTTATAAGATTGTAGCAAATTGGTTTCATTGTAATTGTTTAAGATTGTAGCAAATTGGTTTCATTGTAATTGTTTAAGATTGTAGCAAATTGGTTTCATTGTAATTGTTTAAGATTGTAGCAAATTGGTTTCATTGTAATTGTTTAAGATTGTAGCAAATTGGTTTCATTGTAATTGTTTAAGATTGTAGCAAATTGGTTTCATTGTAATTGTTTAAGATTTTAAAATTGGTTTCAGCAAATTGTTTAAGATTTCAAATTGGTTAATTGTAATTTTTAAGATTGTAGCAAATTGGTTTCATTGTAATTGTTTAAGACTTATGCATAATAAAAGCAAAGGGTAATTCCTGAGTTTAAAACTGAAAATCACTTACAAGAGAAATGACTCTCAATATTAAAAATAGATGCCTTTCTTTTGTCCCAATTTTGTTTCATGTAGGGATTTTAATTTGCCTAAAATTATTCCATAACCATCTATTTTATTTGTATTTATTAAAACTGATGCTTTCTTTTCCATGTCAAAATTAAGTACAGAAAGTTTTCACTGAAATATTAAATCTGCAGTAAGCTATGAGTTTTAAGCAGGATGATTTTTGCTTAAAGTTCATATTTTCTCTTTCAAATACAGTTTAACATTTCTGAAATTCTATAAAAGTTTATACCTTTAGCATATGGAAAAGAAAACACTGATTTTAAACTGAGGCTAAGAGGATATTGGCTATATTGATACATTAGTCAATTTGTATCAGTCATGTGCCATGCATGATACACACTTAGACAATCGTGTATCTTTTGCTATGACTGCAGATTTTTTTTTTTTTTTTTTTTATTTTTTTTTTACAGTAGGTTGCTATTTCTTTCTATAGTAGATCAGTTGTCATCCAAGGCTATAGAACTTTGTCTGTCCTGCTATTTACCGATAGCTGAAGGGGAAAAGAGGACCTTTCCCAAGGGTATTAGCATGTAAGTGAATGTAATGGATTCAACTGGAATTAGAACACTGCTCTGATTCCTCAATCCTAGCCGTTATCCATTACTCCACTGTATAATTTGTATCACTCGGGTCAATTTGATTCTAATCAAATTCCTTGTTAGAAACAAGATCTTAAACCTAAGTGTGTACCTAATTACAGTGCTGATGTTAAAAATATCTAGCTTCCACTCTTGTATTAAATGACTTCAAAACCCCAAATTACTGTCATAATGTCTTTATGAATGTTTGTATTCTAGAACTTGAAATCCCAGAGAGTGAAATTAATGAAACGAATGAAAGAAGAAACTGATTCCTTTCGCAAGTGGAAACTAAAGAAAGACCACGAGGTTAATAGTTTACTGCAAAAGGTAATAATTTGGGATATCCCATTGCAACAAAATAATCAATGATTATCTTTAGCATATTTTCATATTAAAATTCTAAAAAATTTTATTTTATTAAATTGTAACATTTTGTTTTTCCATCATCAGTTTTTTTTTTTTTTTTTTTTTTGGTTTGGGTTGTATTTTTTTTTTTTGGTTTGGTTTGGTTTTTTTTTTTTTTTTTTTTTTTTTTTTTTTGGTTGGTTTTTTTTTTTTGGGGGGTTGTGTTTTTTTGTTTTGTTTTTTGTTTGGGTTTGTTTTTAAAGATGTTCCAATTAAATCTCCTTTTAGGACAGGAAACGTCAATTTGAAATAGAAAAACTGAAAAGGAGCCATGAAAAGCAACAAGCTATTTTAAAGAGAAAGTCTGAGGAGGTAAGATAAATGTAGGCAAGAATGCCATAGATGTTAGTAAATCAAATGAAGGCATGTGCTCATTTCTTTCACCAATTCTATATGAACTGCCCGATGTACATATTGGTTTTTATTTGTATGAATGTCTTTTTTCGCTCCTTCATTACTACCAACTTGTGCAAGTAGGGCTGGACTAAGTTAACCCTGTTCTTAGGTGTAGCAAAGGAGTCAAATTCAATATGGAGTGTAAGGAACGCAATTCTTTCCATAGGAAAATGTCTGACACAACACAAATCAATGTATACCGAACACTGGTGTAATGGCTTCTGCCAATTTCTCCAAGCAACCTGCTTTTATGTAGCCCAGACACACCTCATTAGCATGCGTGTAACACGACCGTGAATATTAGTCACGGATGCCATCTTGGACCCTTTCTTTCTTTTCTCAACCAACAGACAGACGCGAGTGCGTTTGGGAGGTAAGCCATTTATATTTCCCCACACTCCCCCCTGATCATTCAAGGAAGCAGCAGCAGCCGCCATATCGCAAACCTAGATGGACCACAATCAATGAGCATCAGGAAATCCTCGCCATTGTGGTGAGTAACGTCTATCGCCAGCCGGCTCCAGTGGCTCCTCACGCTCAGCTGCCCTTTCTTCCATTGAACGAGTGCTGGGTCTATAGACTGGCATGCCACGCAGCTTCTGACCACTCTCCTGACGTCTCTCTTGTACTCCTGGGTCAATCAACTTGGCGAAATACAGGGGTCCACTTGACTCCAGGGTGCCTGCTTTGTTGGTGGGCTTCTTTGATCCGATTAGATCGAACGGGACTCACGGACGCAGCGCAGGCGGGTTGCACGGGCTCAATAGCTTTCTTAGTGGCGTCAAGCCACCTTTGGGGCACCCTCGTTAAACAATCTGCCTTGTTGAGGCTAGATTTGACCAGGGACACCTCCATTGTCAGTGCGTACTCTTGCACCAGCTTCACGGTCGTGTCAAGCCATCGTTGGATAAGCATCTCGCTGGTGGCTTTAGTGCCCTCCCGGTAAGGGTATCCGAGATCCACTTATAGACGCAAGCGGAATCCGTGAACAGACACAGGGTGGTCAACTTCCAAAGGATCACCAAGTTGATCCCCTTGATGACAGCATCGAGCTCCGCTAGGTTTATGTGCTGGGAGTCCTTTTCTGGACGTAACCAGCAAGCATCTTCCACCACGGCTCCATCATGAACTATTGATACGCCGGTTGCAAGAGCTTGCGTCAACCCACACACCGAGGTCTTGGCTGTCGACACACCATCTGCCCTGCACTGTCTTCCTTGCATACTCTAGCAAGGACCTCCCTCATCATGGTGTTGAGAGGGGCGTTGTGAACTTCGTCATCCCATCCAGTGGTGATGTCAGATGCTCTCCGCTTGATGAACGCCACCGCAACACGCAGCCAGCCACCTACAGAAAGGTGCCCAACTAACTTGCCAAGGACAAGGAAAATATGCTTCACCGCATGACAACAGGGGGCATGTCTGGGACTTTGTTTCCCTGTTTCCAATACAGAACGTCATCCTCTCCCCAGACCTGCAAACCAAGCACCTGTGCACCATCCTGTAGCCTCTCCAGTTCCTTGCTGAGGAGGCTAAAGTTGTAGAGATGCTCCTTCACGCACGCTGCAGATATGACTCCCTTGTTCACGTACACGTCATCAATATATGCAGATGTTGCCGCTGTATCGCGCATCATCGCCGTCAGAATGGCGTCAACAATCATCTGCATAATTGATGGCGCTGCCACATTAAGTCCCAACCCCATGCGGGTCAGGCAATACCTTTGCCCCTAGATAAGCACAGTTTGATAGGGTCACAGTAATCGGTGCACATGCACTTGAAGGTATGCCTTGTGAAGATCCAGCACAGATACATTTGATCCCGTCTATCGCCATTCCCTTAGCTTCTCGGTACACACGTCCACACAGGCTGTAAAAGGGTCCACGTGCTCGTTCAGTTCCCGATAGTCGAGCACCGGCCTCACCTTTTTGTTTGTTGTGCTGGATAACTGCCATTAGCGGGATCAGGCCCTTTGGGGGCCCCAATTCCTTCTCTGGATAAGGAACCAATCATCCATTATCAATCCAGGCTCGCAACTCCTTGTTGTATTCTGCATGAGCTCACGGAGGGATTTTATACTATGGCACACTGTTTTACCACTTCTCTGGTAGTTGATCGTCCGACCATTTCCAGGGTACCGTCCAGGACTTTGTGCGCTGGTCGAACTCCGCACGAAAGTCAGGCCGTTCCAGCTCCTTTGCTGCACCTAGAGCAAGACCGGTTTCAGTGAAACGCGCATGACCCTCTTCGTCTACATGGATGCCACCCAATTTTTTGATGACGTCCATTCCCAGGAGCAGATCATAACCGAGCAGCTCTCCATCCACGACCAGGGCTTGTACGGCTACTGCAGGCCCATCACCGATGCTTGCGCGGATGACGCTCACTCCACAAGAGGCTAGTGAGCCCCCACCAACAGTCAGAACTGGAATCTTTTTCTCATCCCACGTGTCACAACATGCCTTGCGCACAAGGGTCTGGGTGCACCTGGTGTCTACAAGTGTTCACGCCCATTAATCCGCACGCTCACTGCGGGTAGTGCCTTGTTCAGCAGCGATCTGGGGAGAAAGCTGGCGCTGTAACCTCCCCTTGCCCCGGACAGCTTAACGTTACGTGGCCCAGCCTGCCGCACCTGTAGCAACACATGTCTCAGTGTTCCTCGGTTATCGTATCCTTCGCTTTGCCCGGCAGTCTTTGGAGAAGTGGTTCAGTCCGCCACATTTATAGCACCTATGTCCTCAGTTGGCGGTGCGGGTTCCACAGCTGCTGAGGCCGGCTCCGCGTCATCTTTGAAGACTGGCTCTGGCCAGTAATTCGTCTAGCCCCAGCTCATTGAGCCTTGACGATGCTTGTAACAGTCGACTTGCGTTGTCTGGGAGTCCTGCCAGAAAGGCGCATCCAGGATTTGGTCGCTTGCTCCACCGAGCGGTGCGGCCAGCTTCCTCAAATTTCAGCCAGAAAGCCGCATCTACTGTTTCATCCCGAAAAAACATCTACCGTTTCATCTGGCCCAAGCTGCCGTTTGGTGAACTGCCTCCAGGCGACCAAGGGGTCTGCACCAAATACCACATATAGAGCCTGCTTAATTTCTTCCAAGTCTGCGTCATCCCTGAGCTGCGATATACAGCGTAAGCTCTTTTGGTGAGCCTCGGAGGGATGACCAGCGCAGGATCCTTAACTTTCCACAGCCGGCAGACCCACTCGGCCATTTCCCACCACAGACAGGGGAGCCGTCGAAGTTCAAGTTGTAATAATGGCCAAAATAGCTTGTAGCAAAGGAGTCAAATACAATATGGAGTATACGGGATGCAACTCTTTCTGTAGGAAAATGTCTGACACGACGCAACACAAAGCAATGTATACCAAACACGGGTGTAATGGCTTCTGCCAATTTCTCCAAGTGACCTGCTTTTATGGAGCCCAGACATGCCTCATTAGCATGCGTGTAACGCGACCTTGTGAGACTGCATGAGACTGTGAATGTTAAAGTCACGGATGCCATCTTGGACCCTTTCTCTTCTCAACCCACAGGCCAGACAGACGTGAGGGCGTTTGGGAGGTAAGCCATTTCTATTTTCCCCACATTAGGTATGTTAGTGCTTAAAGGCAAGAGCATTATACTTACAAAGGTAACAACTGGATGCATTTAAGTCTCTCGGCCTTGGGTAGATAAGGCTTGACAATCTGTTTGTTCAGTGGCAGCAATACCCAGATGCTTGCATCTTTCGTGGCAATCAAAGAACTTCAAACTGATGTATATCTGCCTTGCCACAAGAACAAATTCCTCTTTATCTATAAGTTCAAATCCCTAAGCAAACTTGGAATCTTTGTCTAGAGCAGTGGTTCTGAAATGGTGTCCTGGTATTCCAGAGAAGTGTCCAGACATAGTAAATAAATATATTTACTTTGTTGCAGTAGCTGTCTTGTTGCAGATAGCCCTCAAAGAAAGCTTCAATGAGAGAAAGCTTTTGTTTACTATATTGAACTGGTAGGAGTTGCTGGTTGATCTTCCATGCCTAGTTTGAGAAAGTTGATTACTAAAAGATGTATTATGCAACATAAAATGAGGGCAAGGATTAGGATTGTTTATTTAACTCGGTTTCATAATTATCATTTATAATTATCATTTGTTTATAAGCAAATGTGATAAGTTAGTTACTTTATCATAAGCACATTAATCATGATTACTTATTCTATGCAGTGGGTGCACTGAAGTTCATTTGTGAACTAAAAATGTGAAAGATTTGTTTGTACTAAGCCTGGGTTTTTTTTTTTTTTTTTTTTTTTTTGATTCAAAGAAAACATTTAAAATCTGACTCTGCAACTGAGCAGATTTCTGCCAACCAGTCATCTTTCAGATTTTCTAGGAATTCCAAAAAATTTTAGAATTTAAATTGGCAATGCTTCTACAAATACTGTTGTAGAAAATCATTTAATTATAAAAACAGTTCAATTAGCATAACTACATTTTTTTTGTTTCGTTTTATCAAATACTTTTATTTTTAGTGAGGGTCTTGTCTTGTACAGTTTATCCTCCCTCCCACCCACATAAAAATATTAATGTCTCTTTTTTTTCCCCAAATATCCTTGGAAATTTATACAGCTCTGCCTACCAAGCATGTTCCTGTGTCTTTAACGGGCATTAAAAGTGGAAGTGTTGTGCATACTACTTATTCAGATAAATACACCCATACAAAATGGATACACTTAAAAAAAAAAAAAAAAAAAAAGCATGATATTGAAAAATCTCATTCTGGAAGTGCAAGTTAGAAAGCAAAACTGCAGGTTACTCACAATGAAAGTTATCTAGTTTTGGTTTTACTTAGACTAAAAGGAAGATAAGCTTTTGCCGCTATTCTTTAGTATGTGGATGTAAAATGTCAAATGAGTCCTTGCTTCCTAGTAAACAGAATACATACAATTCAGCCTGGACAGTCATCTATCATGCATCTGAGGAAACTTAATTCCTCTAAATGATTGAGGTCTTTAGAAAAGCTGCTCCAAACCTGCTGGAGTTTTGATGGAATATCATCCCAAAGCAACTTCAGTTTCCATAGATCACTCATTAATATCTTACCCCTAATTGTCAGAGGGAGACAGTAACCTAGTGTCAAAAACACTAGGTATTTGAAACTACTTTTGTCTTTGTATTGGCATCAGAATTGATATAGCTGCCAGCTGAGCACAAGGAGTCTCTGACTGGATCATATCTATAACCCAGGATCTTCTCCAACTGACAGCCATGCTCAGCATAGTTGCTATCTGCAATCATGTGCTTTCTCAGATCTTTGCAATTAGTATTACAGGATCTAAGGCCAAAATTACCTTCTTCCATTCTATCAACTGACTCCCTGTAGAGATGCATCAATGTTTGAGCGGAATTACAAGTTTTAATTAGATTGTCCATATAATAAATTCCTCTATGAATGTACCGATATCAAGAACAATTTCTAACATGATGCTTGATGACATAATTTAAAAGGACTAACATTAAACCCAAATAAGTTTCTAAAACAAACCAACCTGTTTCCTTCCTTCATCTTCCAAGCTAAGTTTAATCAGGAAAGCCTTCCTAATGTCAGTGAGTGAAACATTTTTTTGGAGTTATTAAACAATAGTTTAGCATGTTTTCCATTAGATTTATTCCAGGGTAGGCTGCTTTGTTTAAGGAGTATCCTGTTTTAGTTTTAAGTGAGCAGTTAAAAACAGGTGGCTTGATCTTTGGTTTTAAAAACAGGTCTATAAGGAATCCCATGAAATCAAGGGTAATGTAAATCCTTTATCCCCTGCCCCTCCTGTTCATGAAATACCTTAGCATATTCATCAAATTGGTTAAGCCAGCCTTTCTAAGCTCTTGAAAACTCTGTCCAATATGCCAAGAGCTACTGCATGATTTGAAGGTACAGAACTGATTCTTTCTTCTATCCAAGGTAAGTTTATGTAAGAAATCTTTAAATTCTAGAAATCCCTAATCTTCTCCCTGTCATAATTGCTCTCACAATATTTGCTGGGCAAACCAACATTTCTATACATAACATTTTACCCAAGTTATGTTCCCAGCAACTTCCCTCATCCATATTGAAAAATGAATCAATGCGTCCCCTTTTTAGGTTCTAAAACAGTTGACATAAGACACTGGTAGAAGTAAATTAGGCTGCCCTTAAGGGAACATAATTCATTAAATTACAGAACTTACATTCAATGTTTAATTTATTGTTCCTTCCACTACATTCATCCTTGTAATGTTTCCTACTCATGCATACAAGGCATAAACTTTAAATTCCTTACACCTATTTAATCTGGACTCTAGGGAAGGCTATTGGGAACATTTTAATGTTTTTCTTCATGACAGAATCTACATTTCAAAAGATTACTATTTCTGGTGTTGATATTAGTTTTCCAATGTGCAGTTTTTATTCTGACTAGAATTAGACATTGGAGTCCAATCATGAATTTTCCACAGCTATTTAGACTATTGCTATAACTTTTTTTTTTTTTTTTTGTAATTACAAGGGTTTTTATAACTTTGTTGGACGTGCAGAATTTATTAATTATCAGGAATTTGTAGGTTGCGTGACTTTCTGCAACAAATAAACGAAATTTAAAATACGATTAAGAACAAGACATATTTAATTAGAAACTAATAAAACATTTTTATATACAATTCAAAACGATATACAACCAGGATAATTGGTATGTTATGTTGGCAAAGTGTATGATGTTTTAGATTTCAGAATGTCTCTTTGTAATCGTTCATTCATTTGTTTTTAAGGTTGTTTGCACATTGATGTTACTTAATAGGTAGTGAATATAATTCACTTTAGATAAGCAATGTTTGAGAATCGATGTCCACAGAGTTGGTTGAGTTTTAATTGTGAGTGAGTCAGCGTTGATGTACCTTTTGCGCGGTAAAGTCTTGATTTCTAGTGACGTGGAGTATGTTGGCAATTTCTCTGTGGGTGTTCGTCACTGACTGCTTGGGGCAGTCGGCGTTTACTTTTATAAGTTCTGAAAGTCTGAAATTGGATCACAGTTTTGGCGCAATTTCACTTTTTTCACGTGAACTTTCAGATTGTGTCATTAACCAATGAGATTGGCTGATTCATTTTAAAAACAGTTTTTATTGGTTTTTTTTTCCATACGTAGGCGTAAGATAGGCTGTTCTGTTGCTAGGGGTGATAGGTAGGAAAAAGGCAAGTCTACAACTTCACTATGGTTAGCAAAAATTTGGGACAAAAAAGGATAATTCATTTCCATGCCATGTGTTTTTTTTTTTTTCCTTAAGGTACTGCGAATTTTGAAAATACAATAAAACTCATTTATTTCCAGGAGGATTCTCTTGAAGGAAATCCAAATCAAACGAACAACTTAACTCGCAGATCAGCTCATATTAGTAAGAAATTGCTTCACCCCAGCAAACTTGTAGCTCCTGTCAGGCTTGGACTCTAACTTGCCTGAACATTTCGGCAACAATGAATTCATTGTCTAAATTCCTCCTTTTTTTAATATTTGTATGGCAGAATTGTAATTATCATTGATAGTTAAGTACTGCGTTATCTGCAAGGTATACCCTGTTAAATATCCTTGCAGATACTGTAACTTTATAGCCTTCAACTTAACATTGGCCGCACAATTTTCAAGCTGCAAAAGAAAATTTTTGAAAACACATTTATCCTTATCACAGTCCTTGCTGCTGAAAATGCAGCATTTCAACTTGGAAATAAATGAAGAACTGGGTTATTTGTATTCTCATCATCCCTAGCTATGATAGAATTCTTTGGAAAATTAGGCTCTAATTTATCTAGTTTCTGCTTAACCTCAGTGTGAAACTTGATAGCATTCTTTCTCATCAGTTTCATTAGCATTGTATATATCTACTATCTCTGATTCCATCCACCATGGCTAACCATTTGAAAAATATCACCCCCTTATTGAATTAATGTAATCAAATCCTTTTTCTTGGTTTTTTTTCAAAACATTAAGAGTAGTAACTATATTTTGCTTAAATGTATTCAGTCTTTTGGCTAATTTGCCAGTTAAACATGAAATGGTGGACATTTTGAAAGATGTATATACAGTCTGGTATTAACTACAAAAATTCCCCAAACTCTGCAAAAAATATCTAGAAAGGAAAATAGAACCACCAAAACAACTTTTCACTTTAAGAAAAACGAAGTATCACTTTTAAAAAAAAAAAAATCAATTTCTTCCACTTAATGCACACACCAATCACAAGGGGTCTTCCAAAAGAAAACTTATCTTTGTTAAGAGCACTCAACTATTTCGAGCAAAATGTTGGAAATTTGTCTTGGCTTTCCTACATGAAAGGGTTACAGTTAAATGTGACAAAATTAATAAAAGCAACAATGCTCTTTTAGGCAGAACATGCAATCCTACTTGGTTTAACAAAAAATCTTTATTTACATACAAAGAATAAGGGATATACACAAATGAGTGGAAGAAAATTTCTCTTAATTTAAAGGAAGAAAAAAAAAATGTTCATGTAAAAGCTTACTCAAAATTTTTCTCTAAGCGAGCAGATTGTTCTTAAGGGGTTAAACACATGGATATCAACAAAACCTCTGAAGAAATCAGTTTTGTAGTTGAGTTTGTAGACCGGTGACAGGAATTTTTCTTATGCAAGGAAGCCGATTTCAATTAGTTTTTGGTAGAGGGCCAACATTCTGTCTTTACAGCCCAGCTGGAAGATCCCTTTCTTGAAAATGGTTCCACTGACCCGATGTTATTGCAGACTGTATCAAGTACTCTGTCAAATAGGTGCATATTCTCCATATTTATGGAGAATAGAAAGCTCAGAAATATCTGGAAATTTCCAAAATTGCTATATAAATTCCTAGCACCATTTGTCAAATAAGTTGTGAGCATTACCGCATTCGACCCCCCCATATCCACCCCCCCCCACCCCCGACTTTATGGCAACATAGACAGGGCAAGGATGGTCAGATTCCTTTTGATATTTTCCAGTTCTCTTGTTCACAGAAAATATCTCTAAGGATCAAGGTTTTGGGAGCCAGATTTGAAAGCAGGGGGAAAAGTTGGGGCAAGAATTAAGGAAAAAAGACTGGAACATGTACTTGTAAAATATTGTACTAGTGGTTCTCGAATTAAATTCTAATATATATGTAAATTCTCCAATTTCTTTTAATTAGCTATTGCAATTTTAACCATCTGTACACATGGGATTTCTTTAATTCATTCATCTTGTAATATTGGGTGCCTCATAGAAATAGTAAATCATCAAATTCAAGTATTTTGAGATTAAATTTCAATTTAAATTCTCAAACAAATTTATATTGACTGAAAATGAACTGCTTCTTATACTGATAACTGCAGGCCTGCGCTGCTAATAAACGACTGAAGGAGGCCATGAACAAACAAAAAGCTGTGAGAAGTGAGCGCCAGCACCAACTTGATAATTATGGGGCAAGCAAAAATGCCCAGTCATTGAAGGTAAGCATTTTTTTTCTTTTATTCAATTCATTGGTTGTTTTGAAGTGTAATTCCAGCTGAAATGTCATCAAGAACAAATCTGTTCTGCTGTTCAAAACATAATGTCTATCGCATGAAAATGAAAAATAATCTTGACTAGGCGAGGGAGGGGGGTTTGCACTGTTGGGTAGGATGGAAATGAAACAAATGATTGATACTAGATATCAAATTTGATCATATAGACATCGTGCTCATTTAAAACCTACTTTTATTTCAAAATGATGTCATAGCATCAAAATCCATTTGCTCCTCTAAGGGTTACAGTAATTCATGAAATGTTGTGGGGTGGGTGCTCGCTTTTCTTTATAAACACATACCACAAAACAAATTCTACATTGCCTTGATAAAATCCCTCAGGGGAAATGTATTGGCTAAGAACAGTAAGGGGTTGGGTTAAAAGTGAAAGAACCAGAGGGCAATAAAAGAACAAGTTCATGGCGACAAGATGACAATTGATATTGCTTTAAAAAAAATTTAAGATAACACAGGAAAGAAGCCATAAGAGTTCCAGAAAAATTGAGATTTATTGAATATCTACATTATGAAATGCCCTCATGTGAGTAGAGGTAGGTGTCAAGTTATGTGAAGTGATAAAACCTCCAAGTAACCTTGACCAGTAGTCAGAAGTAATTATGGCTCACTGAAGTCTGTAAAACTGTGCCAACTCGGACACCAGTTAAATTTATGCTTTATGTAAAGTCTTTATAGAATTAATTTTTCTATTGTATATTTACCATTTTCTTTAAAGAGATTCTACTTTTTAAATTATTTTTTGTAATTTTGTATTTGCAAAACTATAAAATAAAACTTATAGAATTGTCTGTCCTGTAAAAGACATTCAACTTGTTTTATTTTTCTGTACATTATAGCATCTTTATTTTTATTTTATATCCTTTCAGATTTTGTCTCTAATTTTTACCTATTAAATGAATAGCCACAATATCTTTCTTTGATAGAAACTATTTGATATAGACCTACTTAAGTTAGTGTATACATAGGCTTTGACATTTGTAGATCATAATCACTTGATTACATATATACAAGTCAGGTGAAGGTTGTTCTGACTCCACAGCCCTGGCCTTGATGATGGTCAATGAACAAATGTAGAGATATGTGGGAAAAGGGTACATATAATACCAACAGATGGTTACTCGGACCTTTTGAAAAGTTCGAGAATAAGCTACACATTATACACATTCTTTTTTGGGGGTTTTCTTCCCTTCATATTTGTCAAAGTAGTTCAAACTACATTTGTTTTTGTTTTGTTTGTTTTTTTCTTTTTTTTTTTTTTTTTTTTTTATATACTGTTACTTCATCCAGCACAAGACCATGCAATCACTTTGGTTCAGTTTGAACCTACTCCTAAATCCTACTGACAATAACTGCTATGCTACATGATTGTCCTGTTCAAACTTTAGTCACCAAAAACAAATCATAAATTTGCATAGGTTTCATTGAAATTGATAATATAAAATTATTTCATTATTTGCATAATTTCATTATTTGCATTTGATAAATTTAGTTCATCACTCGTTTTTTTTTTTGTTTTTTTTATATAATTTTAGCATGAATTGAATTCCATTTTACAGAATTACATATTTCATAATATAAAATTTTTCAGGTAATGGTAGAAAGAGAAATTGATGTCAAGGCTAGTCTGCAAGAAACTAAACATTATCTGAAAACTTTGATAGAACAGAGAATTCTTCTAAATTCACAAGTCAACGAGCTTAGTGAGCGATTGAAAGGACCTCCTAAAAAGGTAAGGAACTTTTGCTATAGTCAATGCTGGTGGCAGTTTAAGCACTACCAAAATTGGAACAAATAAAGCAGTTAAAGGAAGATTTTTTTTATTTTATTTTTTTTTTTTTATACACTAAGCAACTTCAATAATGGTAAACCTATCGCAGTTGCTGGTCTATATCTAGTCTTGCCTGGGGTTGTTACCAGTTTAAAGCTTTTGGCAGATGACTGACTTGTCGGCACATGCTTCCAATGACACATTGTCATCCCCATGTCAGGATGTGTAGATAAACAGGGTGTCAGTGGTGGAGGGGTGTTAAGAGCTAAGCTGTTAGACATGGTTGTCACAAGTGTCACCTGTGTACCCACCAAGGCCAAACAAAGCCTTTAATAAAAAACACCTATTTTATTTGTGGGGAAGGGTCATATTGTCATTTCTTGGCATTGGGAGTGTGAGTATAACCTGTTCTTTAATTCCTTGTTTCTAGTCTTGAAATTGTACTTTTATTTTATTTTACAGTGCAATTAACTGCTTGTGTTAAGTTATTTGAATGTTTTTTGTTTTTGTTTTTGTTTTTTTTGTTTTTTAACAGAGAAAAGCTATTGGCTCTAGTCCAAGTGCTAGTAACAGTTTCAACATTACTGAAATTGGGGAACAAATAAAGCAGTTAAAAGAAGATATCAAAATAAGGCAAGTTTTTTTTTTTTATATATATTTATATATCACCCAGTTTAAATTCTGTCCAGGAATTTAATTCAATTAGTGGTTTGAAAGCTTTCAAATGTAATCTAAAAATATATATATATATATATATATGATGTATATATGAAATGTAATCTAAAATATATATATATATATATATGATGTATATATGAAATGTAATCTAAAATATATATATGATGTATATATCTATATATATCTATATATAGTTTTAAGGTGTGCTATATTTATGGGATAAAGTGCTCAATATCAGAGACAGCGTGTGTAAATATAAAAGTGAACATAGAAGTCAACACTGTTTCATGCTATATGCAGTCGTCAGGCCACATATGCTGTTATTTTTCTCGGCTATTTATATATATATATATATATATATATATACGGATTAGTGGTGCATTGTGGGTATTCTATTATGGCGGTTATTTTTACCGGAAGTCACTTTGTTTATTTATTTGGGTCAAATTATATTGCTCGTTTTTATTTTTATTTTTTCTTTATTTATTTATTAATGTAGTAAAAATTTGTTTATCACGTATTTAACAGTTTTGGTTTGGTGTGAGAATTTAATTAAAGCTATTTGTTCAACTTTTGGGGTTGGTTGTTGTAGTTCATTCTATTTTTTATTTTTTTTTTTTTTTTTTTTTTTTTTTTTTTTTTGGGAACAGTTTTTTAATTTGGGATTGGTTTGTCTATTTACTTGGATGAATTTAGGTCAATTTATTTGTATATTCTCTTTTTGGTTTTCGGTTTTTAAGCAACATAGTATTTTTTTTTTTTTTTTTTTTTTTATTATTAGTGTATTTGTTTGCTTTTATTTTATTTTTTTCCGTTTTTCATTTTTTAGGTTACGTAGTAAAAATTTGTTTTCATGCCTGCATTTTGAGATGAGCTTCGGATCTTTTTATTTAATAATTTATTTTGGTCGTTAAAAAGTAATGATAGCTATTTTTTCCTCCAAGCAAAGTTTGCAAGTATTTGATTGGTTGTTGTAGGCTGATGACTTTTTCCTTATCTTCCAAGATATTTTGGTGTGATGTGCGTTTTGTTTTTTATTTCCCAGATATACTTAGAAAGCATAGTACTGTTCGCATATTTACTATTTGTGAACGATGTTTTGTGTGTATAATTTCTTTGCTTCCAGGGTCCTTCAGTTACTCCTATGTATACTTTTTCTTCATTATCTGGTGATTTTTATCGTGGCTTGGTATATTACGTTGTTTTGTAGACAATTTCCGTTTAAGGGGCATTCGTTCTTTATTCTGCAGTTGCACGTGGGTTTAATTTGTTCGTGTGGTTTGTTGGTAATTTTCCTATTGTGCTTTTTTATTATTTGTGCCATGCTCTCGCTGTAGCTGATTTTTACTGTGTTTTTGTTGAGTATCTTGTGTAAGGTGCTTGATTCTGGGAAGTGTTTGTGTAAGAGTTTGAAGAATATTTTTCCTACGTTTGTTTTTACGTTCTTGCTGTACGGTGGGTTGAACCATATGATATTTCTTCTCCTGTTGGCCTTTTTTTGTATTCTGTGGTGAGTATTGCTGGGAATCCGCTATCTTTTAGGGCCATTTCATAGTCTTTCTTAGCTTTGTTAAATAGAGATTCATTGGAGGAATTGTCGGAGAGCCTGCGGTTAATAGATTTTATAATCTGTTTGATTATAGAAGACGGATGGTTGGAAGATGTGTGTATGTAGAGTGGTTTATCGTTAGGTTTTCTGTATGGTTTATATGTGCCTTCTCTTAGGTTGAAGGTAACATCTAGGAAATCTACTTCGTTTAGGTTAGTTTTTATATCTGTCGAATCCGTTATTTTTAAAAATCTTTATTATTGCTTTTCTAGTTTTGTCTGTGTTTTGTTTGTTACAGTTTCTTAAGATTATGAGACCGTCATCCCTGTAGATTCCTGTGTCATTTTTATCTATTTTGCTCAGTTCGTGTAGTAAGTAAATGCCTATGATTTCGCATGCCTTGCACCGTCAAAGCTTCCCATTGTAGTATCAAATATCTCATCTTTCTTTATCCATGCTTCTTCATTGTGGAATAATGATTTAATGGGAGTGCTTAATGATGATTTCGCTTGGTTTTATTATTTGTTCCTGAGCTAAGTTAATGGCCTTATCTAGCATACGTTCTGTTATGGATGGGTAAAATTCTTTTTGTCTAATTGTAGGAATTGGCAATTTTGTTTGTTATTTATGTTGTGGAACCAGTCAATAGTTGTTTCATTATTTTTCCACTGGTTTACTCTAATTTCTTCCTAAGTTCAGAATTAATTCTTTCTAGTATTGTTTTACTTATTTTACCTAGTTACGCTTTTGGCTGACAATGAGTTCTACATGCAGGATTAGTTTTGAAATTTTCTTTATGGTCTTTTAGTGTGAAAAAGGCTAGTGCCTTTGCTAATACAATTTATTGATCATCTAGGTCTAATTTTTTGGGCGATTGTTTTAGCTTCATATTGATAATTTATGTTCTGTTGTTTTGGGTGCCTTTTTGTATGTTTTGGTTATGTTGTTCTTGAGTAATTTATTTTGCAGGAAGGCTTAGTTTGTATAAATTTCTCGTTTTGTCAGCATGAATAAATACACTTGCTGAATTGCTTATTTTAGTTATATCAGTTTTTAAAGTTTGGAATGCATCTTGTTTTTTTATGGAATTTTATGTTTCTAACTAGGTCAGTTAAGTCTCTCGAAATCGTCTAATTCTTTTTGTTGTGGGGGGGCATTTCTTTGTTTTGAAGCCGTATTTTTACTTAGGTGTGTTATTGTGAAAGTCCTGGTTTAAAAAGTGGACTTTCCATCTCATTCTTTTTAGGAAACTTTCTATTTTTTCAATTAATTTTAGTTTATATATAGTAGGGGATGGGACACCATAATAGAATACCCACAATGCACCACTAACCCATATATATATATATATATATATATATATATATAGCCGAGAAAAATAACAGCATATGTGGCCTGACGATTGCATATAGCATGAAACACTGTCGCCTCTAAGTGTTGACTTCTATGTTCACTTTTATCTATATCTCTGTATATCTATATCTCTGTATATAGATATAGATATATCTATATCTTTCTCGATAGAGATATATATATATATATATATATATATAATCACAGCTGTTTGTGGTTTCCTACAGACCCACTGACCTTAAATAAAGTCAATTCAGGTTTCCTATGGTAAAAATTTTCTTTCCCAAGTGAAAATCATCACAAAAATAGCAAGTCATTTTGTCACAGCTTATTTTCTCTCAAAATATCGGTTTTCATACTTTTTTTTAGGGGTAAAATATTGAAAAATGACTTATCACCTAAACTAATATCAAGGAAACTTTTGATCTGAACCCCATGAAACTAGGTATTTTCTGAAAGCAAAAGATATATTCTTTCATTTAAAAGTAAAATTAGCTGGTGTAAATGACTCAATATTTTTTTCAGTGGGTAAAATATGAAAAAATAGTGAAAATTTTGCATTTTTTTCTTGTTCTAAACAAATATTTCCCCCATTAATGGGAAATTAATCTTTTTTTTTTTTGAAAATCAGAAAGCCTAAATCATAATGAAACTATCAGGCATAAAATTGAGTTTTGAAGGAAATCAACATTCCTAGGGGTTCAAAATGCGACAAAATCCATTGTTAATTTTCAATTATATGACTGCCAATGGTTAAAAAAATTGACACCTGGCCACGGAAATCTTTAGTAAAAGGCAAGAGATTTATCTGCAATTCCTAACCACCAGAAACCAAAAGTTTTTTTTTTCCCTAAAAATAGCGATAAGGGAAAATAAACCTAATTGACTTTTTTACGTCTAGGTCAAAGGCCAGCCAGCAATAAACGGACGTCAAACCTTAGAACAAGTTGTAATAAAACCCACCACTCCCAGATAAAAGCAAAGAGTGAAAAAAAAAAAAAAAACAAAAAGGGATTCACAATTACTAGGGTTTGATATAACCTATGTTTGAACAATGGCTTGATGAGTTTTGTTTTGTTTTTAACACCCCGTGACCCGGGTGATGACAACAACACTTAGCAGCCGACATTGTTTTTTTTCGGCGCATATCTTTCGTGTTTCCCATCGCCGGTCCATTTAGCCTTTCTTTTTATTCACTGATGTTCATGCCAAATGAAAGAGAAAGGAATGAATTTTGAATGATGTTATTTTGAAGCGAAAATAAATATTTTTTCATAAAAAAAAGGATTTTTCTCAGAAAATTGGGCATAATTTCTTAATGCTAACCGCTGAGTGACATTTTCCACAGCCAAATCGAAGATTAATTACCAGTGAATAATTCCATGTGCAAAAAATAGCCATCTGGATCCTATAAGGTCACCCTAAAAGGTCCAGAAGTTTACTAATTGATCGAAAACCTGTTGGGCATAATTGTATTTTTCTCAGTCAGTTTCCATTATTTCATCTTGATATTATCATTTTCAGACATCCAAGTCATCAAGGATTCAGGAAAACAATTTGGCATAGGTTTTCTTTAAGAACTTTACATTCTATGAGGTGTTTAAAATGTTACTGACGAATGAGATTTTTTACCAAATATTTCATTTTACGCGCCATGTTGGATTTTCCTATATGACAAAAAAAAGGGTTTTAAACAGCTGGATATATATATATATACATATATATATATATATATATATATATATATATATATATATATATATAGAGAGAGAGAGAGACTGTCATTTGATCTCCACTATCAGATTTCCAGAAGAGTTATTCTAAATTTAGATTCTGAATACAAGTAAATGAATCTAAAATGCATTTTTGAAATTTACATAAAACTTTTCTCTTGTGTGTATCCTTAAAAATTAAATAACTGTTTTATTTATCCAGTTTTTTTTTTTTTTTTTTTTTTTCTTTTCCCTAAGACTTCAGCTTGGTTGGTTATTATACAATTAGTTTGAATTATAGGATCAATGAATGAAATTAGGCTGTTTTATATTAGATGTGATTTTCTTTCTCACTTTCTACAGAAATATTCAAATCACAGAAATGCAATATAAGATCCAAGATGCAGAACATGGTAAGTATCTTACTGTTTGACAAAGTAATTGGAGATGTTGTTCATACAACCACCTATGTAATTTAGGGTTAATAACATTCAATTCTTGGAGAATTTAGGTGAGGGTGGGCTAACTTACATCATAAGTATAATACTGGACTGAGCCTTTTGTGTCCTTAAGTAAGCTCATAACATCTTAAAAGTTGTAAGATCTAATTTGCATAATTTTAGTATTAAAGTTACACAATAAATCCAAAAAAGGTGCAGTTTCTAAGATTTCACATTTGCCTCCAATTCTAAATTTTTTGCAGCATTCTAGAAAAAAAATCGAAGGATATATTTTGACAAAGGAAATGAACTTCAAAAATGCTGGTGCCTAAAAACCAATTTTCCCACAAATTGAATCTTGATTGAGAACTTTGAACTTAAGCAATTTCTTATTGCAATGTGAACTTGCATCAAAATCTTTTTAAAGTGTTTATCATATTTTATATATATTTTTTAAATATTTTTAAAGTGTTTATCATATTTATATCAATATAACTTATTATATTCTAAAATCTTAACTAACAAACAATGCATCTTGATTCTTACCCATTATGACTGCTTAATTTTTATCTTTTCATTCAGTAGTGACTAAACAATTTTTTTTTTTTTTTTTTTTTTTTTTTTTTTTTTTTTTTAAGATAAAAGCAAATCTTGCTGGGAAATACTCCATTCAATGAATGAAGCCAAAGTTGTTATGAAGTCTCTATTTGAAAAGGTGAAGTATAAGAGCTAAAGAATTTCCTACTGCCAAAATTTTTTTTTTTTATGAAACTGAAATCTATTGTCAAAATTGTACTTACATTTGAGCTGATATTATCAGTATTTCTTACTTCATGCACTTTTCTTTCTGATAGCAATATGGCTTTCGCTTCTACATCAATCACTGATATGTTAACGATTATGCTTGAATTTGTCCTCGTTTAGATAATACCAAGCTCTGGCTGCTGCTTTAGATATCTCGGTGTTTGGCATGCTAACCTTCTTCACAAACTCAAAGGTTATGGCATCTCTGACAATATTTGACTTAATGAAAAGATTGAACGACTGTTTCTACTTCCCTTCATATTAATGCATGGATCCTCTTTGAGCCTATATTGTTTTTTATCTTTGACTTTCCCTATATCATTAGTTCTCGGCTAGATATTTATGCTGATGACACAACTATTTGTCTTAATAGTAAGACTAATAGGTCTGAAAAGGTAAAACTGGCAGATGCTCTCAAATAACCTCCCATCAGTTAACTGGGGCAAGAAATGACTTGATCATAGACAATCTTGGAAAGTTTATATTCTTTCAATTGACTAGAAAGTCAGTTCATTCTCACTCACTCACTCACTCGTCTGTTTCTCCTGTATCTTTAGGTAAAATCAAAAGGGTCTGTAATGTTATTGGTCCTAACCTGGCATCACTTCCCACTGTAACTTAATGGCATGAATTTAAGTAGTTCTAGATTGGTCTCAGTTCTACTGTTGAAATAGCTTTTGATGTAACCATAAGTTCTATTACAATCTGTGGTATTCATTGTCTAGTTTCTTCTCTTCCATTCTACCTATGATCTCCAAAAACTTAAATACAATTTCAATTGCCATCTCTTGTCTTCCTGAAACCTGTTCTTTTATTGTCCCTTCTCCTCACTAAATTCTTGTTCTTGCTTCATGTTACCCCCTGGTGTTCTTGCTTGGGATGAAATGATTAAAAAAAAAAAAATAAATAAATCACTTGTACATAACTTAAGTATACTAATGTTAATACCTGGAAATGTTCTGTCATCAAATACAATATACATTTCATTTATTTTTTATATTCTTAATTGCTATAACTTGTACTGTACTTGAGCCTGTAACATCTCTTTCTATACTGCTTGCTACAATTCTGTACTCTTAGCAGGGATCACTGATTTGCCTCTTGTCCATATCAGCATAATTTTAGACAGTGTTAGTTCACTGCACTCCTGTTGAGTGGCACTTGCAAACTTAATAAGCACTTTTTTTTTTTTTTTTTTTTTTTTTTTCTTCCCAGTTGTCCTAAAACTACAAGGAAACTAAGCCTAATTTTATTTCATTCTTTTCTTAGACTGTAACTGAAAAGGCAAGGGGTTTGATTATGTCAGGAGAAATGAAAGAATTACAACAAGGAAAAGATGATGCTGAAAAGAGCTTAAAGAGAAAGTTCACAGAAGTTGAGAATATAGCAAAAGTATTTCAAAATGAGAAAACTGAGATTGAGCGAAAATATGAAAACAGGGTAAGCAATTTGTTCTAAAAATGAATGAGTGGCTTTTGAATGTGTGGAAAATAAGGGGGTGCCGTGCAACTGAAGTTTGTTTTACAACGCCTTTGCATAAACACAATAAAATAAGTTTGATTAAATTTGACAATGTCTGTTCCACATCTCAAGATGTATATTGAGATCAAAAGTGTAGATAAGCTGTAAAAAGATCAGTTTTGTAAAAGGTCTTCAACCTTTTTTTTTTTTTAAATTTAAGTTTTAAATAGTCCATGACATTGTGTAACTGTTAAAAGGAATGAGATCGCACCAAAAATGTTTTCATTTTTTTTAGTGCAGTCATGACAAATGACATTAAAACTTTATCCACAATTTTAATACCAATATACATCTTATTGGGAGAAAATGCAATAAGACATGGGCCTTGTTAATTGATTTGACTTAAATTTGTATCACGCACATACAGTAAGGACTCTTTAACTCTTTAAAATTGAATTTTAATTCAGATTTTGCGCATATTGAAAAAATTCAGAAGTCTTACAAATGAAGACCTAAATGTAACCATTGATGAAGGCACAAGATCAAGGGTTGAAGAACAGGTAAAGCTTTTCAACGCCATTCCTTTTTATTCAAATTCTTTCTGCTATTCAGAGTATGAAGAAAAAATTAATCTTATGAACATGAGAAATTCTTTGGTATAATTTTTTTTTTTTTTTTTTTTTTTTAGGAGAGCTATGAGCAAATCATTAAGACTTTGGAGAAGAAAATTTCAGCACAAGAACAAGAAATAAATAATTTGAGAAGAGAGGTAGGTAACCATTTGCTGCAATCTTTTCACTTTTTAAATGCTTTCAGCATAAAGTTAGTTTCTTTGTAAGAATTAACTCCAACTTCCTGCCCTAAAACATTTACCCTTTAAAATAAATTCATATTTTGATGAGATAATTTAAGTCAAACAATTCGGTTAGTTAATCAAATAGGTCACTTTTCTTGATTTATTTATAGCTTTTAGTTATTTGAGTACTTTTCGGCACTTCTGCTGAACTGAAAAACATTAAATTCCTGGAATTTTTATGTACAGGTATCCCTTAATGTTTTTGGTTAGTGGGGTACAGATTTTATATACCAATTTGATTCAAGCATACATAATGCTTGATTAGTGTGGTAAAACATTCTTCAGTATAACCATAGTGACTGAAAATTTAGTTAACAATGTACATTAACGGCACTGAAGGATTCCTCTCTCACACACACACATATATATATATATATATATATATATATATATGTGTGTGTGTGGACTCAGTCCAACAATTCTTAATTTTCTGTTTTATATTTTTGCATTAATAAAATAGTGATAAAACAACCTGTTCAATTTTTAGTTATTCACTTAGTTGAGAACTGTTCAGTAGCATAGAATCTTCTCTTGTACTCATGAAATAAGAATGTAACATGAGGTTTTACACTATAAATTTTTTTTTTTTTTTTTTTTTTTTTTTTAAAGGTCTATGATGGTGTGGATACTCCTGAGCTGTTTGACACAGATTCCAGTGATGACGATTCTGACTGGGTTACGCCTTATGTTAAAAAGGCCAGAAAAATACTAGATCCGGTTGGATACTCTTTTCATATATTACTTTCATTTTTAAATTCAGGTCCCCCTATTTATTGCCAGAAAATTTTTAAGCAGAGTTGGCTATTGAAATTTGATATAAAAGCAATGTTGCGTGCTTTCCTTCTAAAGTACTTTAGAGAACTGATTATGCTATTTTAAGGACTCATTGCTGTTTGTAAACTTGCTCTAATTTATCCTAATGTAAAACATTTTTATATACAGGTATTAATGTGTTTTTTGTTTGTTTTTTCTGTGGGGGTGTGGTTGTTTAAGTAAATGCAGAAACTCTCATCACAATTTAGTCCACCATTTCATGTTGCAGTATTTTTAGAGATTGATTTAATTAGGAGCCTCCACAAAAAATGATACCTATGGTTTAAGATGAACATTTTAAAAATGAAAATCTCTTGAATCTTAGCTTTAATTTCAGGCTAATAGATTAAAACTTAATATTTCTAATAAGCAAAATACTTGATTGTTCTTATTTTGATATTGTCGTATATGGTTACCATGCTTACAAAAATTGGCACGTTTATAGACAAAAAATTCAAAATTCTAACAAAATATTGGTGTTTTGATTTGTATTTACTTTTCCATTTATGATTTAGTAATTAGTTTTCACTTAAGACTGAAATTCATAGTTATAAGATTTTTAAATTTAATGTTTAATTAAAATTTATTCTTGTAAAAATTCATTATTCATAGAGAAACTTTTTCTTAAGTGTTCTTAATTTTATGAAGAATTTAAAAGCTTTTCTAATTAAATGTCGGTATATTGCATTTTAAATGGTTTTTGACAAAAAATGATTAAAATTCTTAGTCCTGCTTTGGAATACTAATTTCTCAATTTCATTTATTTGTGAAGTCCTGAAAATTTCATTAAAATCCATTTGATTTTTGCAAGAATTTTCAAAACAGTACTTAAAAAAAAAAAAAAAAAAAAAAATGCTAAAGTTTCCATTACTAGTCTTTGGCCAACCCACTGAGGCAAGAAAGATTTTTTTTTTCACCAGAACTAGAATTATTCCTTGCATTGTTTTTATCAACTTTGGAATCTTTTTCATTATGGGATGTGCTTAGAAAAATTTTGGAGATACCTACATTTAACTGTTCCTTATGTTAAGAAATCAGTAAAGTTTTCTTTCTTTGTAGAAATGTTGCTGTCTGAAGACTCATTGTCAAGTAGGTAGATGTGGCTGTATTAGAAATAAAAGACTATGCAGCTCGATTTGCCACTGTGAGGGGAAATGTAGTAATGGGGTAATTATCCTCCTTTTTATTTTCTCTTGACCCTTGTTTGCTCTCTCTCCTTGCAACAGATTTAAAACTTTAAAAAGTCTTATCAGCTGCTTGTAAAACTTCAGAAATTTTATTACTCACCTATGTCTATAATTCTGACTACATTGTGTATAGAACATGTGAACCAATAATTTTTACTTTCAGAAAGTAATCTTAAAATTTACAGAAATTAATGAATTTGATTACTATTTTACAGCTATATTATAAGCATGTTTTTCAATATCTGAAAATTGATATTGATTGAACTAAAATTAGCTACTTTTAACTATAAAATCTAATAGAACAATTTATGTAAACTTTTTTTTCTTTCTCTCTTTAGGTGAATTCTCCTTCTGAAAGTAGTTCTGAAAGTATTCCTGAAGACGAGAGTGTCTCTACACCAAAACGTGATGTCACAAGTTCAACTTCAAAATCCTTATTTCAACCAATTGAATGATTCCATTGCGGAGATATGAAATACTTTGCAAGAGTCTTTTACTAAAAACAAAACTGTTCTTGTTTAATGCCCCTCCCCAAAAGTTTCTCTTAATATTAAACCATTTTTATGAATGAATTAAACTTGAAATGACTTCCCCACCACTACTACTCCTACGACATCATCCAGCAACAATTTGTTTTGCGCCAATGTTTGGAGCATACTGGCTATTTTTCATATTTTTTTTTTTTTTTTTTTTTTTTTTTTTAATTCACAAATTCATATATTTACAAATATCAAATTATCAGTATTTTTATAGCATGAACACAAGCTGGATGAGGACAAAATACATCTAATATGAAAGTTTTGACTTGTGCCTCAATGTTTACTCACTTTATTTATTTGTTATTTTGTTTCAATAACATTAACCATTTTCGTATTGGTGAAACATTTCAAGGCTTACAGCCTCGTTACTTTGCTTAACTTTGATCATACAGGAACAAGTGTTTCAATGTTGAACCTGGTCAGTACTTTGATGGGTGACCACTTGAAATATCAGATGCTGTAAGCTTAGATTTATGGGTAATGTAATAGATAAAGGCTTGGAATTGTTAATCAGAGAGCAGTTCCAATTACCATTGGTTTCATATTTTTTTACCTGCAAATATCCTTAGGAATCGTATGAATCCACTTCTTCTCCCCAAAGACATGGGTTCTTTAGTAAGAATTTCTTAAAAATCTCACCAAATTCTTCACAAAAAATACACACAAAATATTTTAACTTTGGCATTAAATAACCAATAGATGTTCATATGCTGTCAAACAAAAACTACTACTACCAGTAAACATCTCGTATTCATTAACCAGTACTATTGTCATCTGAAATTTATAAAACTTTTCTCAACTCTAGTAGCTGTTATTAGTCTTGAGTAAGTACTTTCACTGAATTTTCAATATGTAAGGTTTAAAATGAAAAGATTCAATTTTAGCCTTAATTGACAGCTAAATGATTAAATTTGCTATTTCCAGTAAGCAAGCTATTTTTTCTCATAAATAGCTGTCAACAACTACTTTCAATCTGTCAACTGAAGCAAAAAAATGGCTTGATAATTTTAACACCTTCAAAATTAAACTGTTCTCTATTAATAATGCTTAGACACCTTTCTGCTATCCATGAGCATGGCTGATGCTAACCTCCAGGAAAGTGACCCATTGCACCTTTTTAGCTAACGTTATCAGCAATAGATTTGAGTCTTTCCACTTCATGTTGGCTAAGTCTGCTGGTAAGAAAATTTTCGCTAGTGCAAGCAATTTTTGATCTCCCGACTCCATTAGTACTATTCACCCATGCTCAGAATATTGCTGCCATATCTGGTCTTGTACTCCTGCTATATATTTCTGTATCTTTGATAGTCCAGAGAATCTAATATTATTGGTCCTAACATCTCATCTTGAGTCACTTTTCTGACTGCTGAAGTTTCCTCCCTATGCTTCTACTATAATTACTTTCATGGTAATTGTTAGGATGAATTCTTCACCTTTATATGAATTTAAGGGCAGTACTAGACTGGGGATATGATCTCATCAATTTACAATTGAGTTGGCTAGATCTAACTATACTGTGTTTATGCTAACTGTCTTTTCTCACACTTGATTGTGGAACTCTTCCCACACCATGCTTTACAGTCAACTTTAACCTTCAAAAATTTAAATACCTTCTTGATTACTCTTCTATTGCTCTGCTTCTTAGTAATGTTTCTCTTAATTCTTCCACCCCTAATAACCTTTGTGTCTTAGTGGTTGGCTAATCATCATAAGGAATGCTTTGCCACATCTAGATCAGATGTAACCTGGTAGTTCTGTTAGTCTACCAGTGTTGCTACTGCAATTCTTGTTCACCCAGGTGTTACATTGAGCACAAGATCAAATTTGTACTCTGCTCCATTGCAGCAGACAGTACATACAAATGTGCCAGACTCCTGCAACACGTCCAGGTCAGCATCAAATCATGAACTTTGTTTTTTGTTTTATGTTGACACAGCCCCTTGTTTTCCATGCCTACCTTCCAAGTTTTCAGCTTGGCAACACATTCATCTAGAGTGTTAGCAATTAACAGGTCATCAGGATATAGCAGTTTCCATGGTACACTAGTGTGTAACTCCCGATAGTGCCTCAACATGAATGAAAAGCAGTAGACTCAAGACTGAGCTTTGAACACCAAACTCCCAGCTATATTGGCCATTGATTCTAACTTGTCTCCAACCAGTTCAGTATATATGCTCTGAACTACACAAATAGCTAAGGCTTCTCATGGCCCTCCCGATCCAAAAAGACAGGTTTCACAGCAGCAATTAATTTCTCCTGTGGTATCTCCTTAGCATGAAACTAATACTGCATTTTATCAATGTTGACCATTTGTATAATGTAGGAGTCGAGCACACATTCCAGCAGTTTCATCACTTGATCAGTGAGCTTGAAGCTTCTGTCCAAGGCATCACTCTTGCCCTTGTAGAGGATGAAGCTCTCTTCCCACTTATTTGTGATCACACCACTACTGAAAACAGATTTTGTAAATAACCTAAGTATTTCAATGCCTTTATCACCAGATGCTTTCCACACTTCATCTTGACTGCTTTGCCAATCAGTACTGATGTTACAAATGGCAGGGGGGAGGACCTGCAACTTCAGGGAACATATCACTAGATGGAAGACTTTGTCACCATGAGGTGACATATCAGCCTAAATAGTCTACCAAGTCTCTGACTTGGCAAGCCATACAACTCCTTTGGCAATGCACTTGGCCTTGCTTTTGCGATAAAACCCTGCCTCATTAGCGCTCTGTAGGTCCTGTAGCATAACCTTTTCTCAGTGACATCAACCACTTTACCACCAGGTCTCAGTTTCTGCTGATCATTCTTGCAGGTGCCACATACCTCATTAGCTGCTTCCAGCAAAGGTGTCTTCAGCTTAGACCAGATCTCTTCCACATTTGATAAAGCATCAATGTCAATCTGCAAGACCTCCAGTTTAGCATTGCAGAATGTTTGGAACTTGCTTGTGATAGTTGAATCACAAAGCCTCCAGGTTCAAAGGTGTGGTTTTGAACTCGTTTCCAGAGTTTTGGTAGCAGGTGATGTTGCAATGTGAACTCCTCACTAGGTATAACTCACATCCAAGACCAATTTGCTGAAGATTTTGCAATATAGGATATTGTCAATCTATAATTTCTGTCCTGGTTAAGACTATAAACTACTTCTGACAGCTAGGCCTTTGATCGGGAGGTTTTGAGGAGCATAGAACCACCTCTTAATCGCTGGTGTTCCCAGGTCCACCCTGAGCCAGGGTGATAGCACCTGTCAGGGTTCCATTTATGGGCAAATAGTTTAACCCCCAAACAGGGGTCAAAACACTAAAAGTATAAAAATAGTTTTTAATACAGCAATATTTTTGAAAAAGAAAAATATTACCTGCAATACTTTGAAAATATTACAGCAATAGAAATCTTGTCAGCATTTAAATGACCCAATGAGGTGTTGATATGCCACAAAACAAATCGATCTGATCTATGATCACCAGAATTGAAGCTGACTGGGTGTGACTCTTTTCAAGAGCCAGTTGTCACTGATCAAATTATTTGACGAGGCAAACTCCAGTACTCTCACCTTCAGTGTTTTGTACCCCCATAACTTTGAACCTCTTCAAAACCACCAGCACAGGCACCCACATGCTCATTTCAATCCCCAATTGCTATGAGAATCTGAGGGAACTCCAGCATACAGGCCCTGCAACTGGTCATAGTGCTCCTTTTCTGTGTCAGGATGACCAACTTGCAGTACACAGAGAAACATGAAAATGGCCCCAGCTTCAATAGTAGGATTTCATCAGATCTGTTGGACATCAAGGACTTTCACCATCCATCTTTCAGTCGGCAGAATGCTGGCACTATCCTTGTTTCCACACCAAAAGATCTTGCCGGCATTAAATAGCCCATTGAGGTTGACATGCCATAAAACAAAAACAGGACCTGTTTCTCCCAATCTGAGCTCACTCTTGCTGTCTTCCAAGAGTACCAAAATAGCTCTTGTAATGTATGGAAAGTTAATATATGGAAAATTTGATGGCTTAGACTGGAGTCATTCTATCATTGAATGGTTTGAAAAGAATGAACTGGTCTGTGTGGTATGAAGAACACTGCTAATTTTCTGCCACTCTGACAGGAGGTGCATTTATTTACTGTATTCCAAGAAATCTGCAAAGATAAGATGTAGGCTGAATCGGGTACACTGTATGTTGCCTTTGCCACAGACCCATTTGTAGCATATGACCACTTTGTATCTAGGTGCTTGAATTCAAACAAATCTCTAGACATCTGCTTGTTGGGGTGTCTGACCATAGATTTGCATGTGCATTTGTAGCAAGGTTGCCAGAGCATGTCAGGAGCCACCTTTGCACATTCTCTTGGATAGATGTCAACCAGCTGTTAGTGGACTAAAGCCATACTGAAGGATATACTCTGTGGCAAATTGGCTATGGTAACTGCAAATCCTGAGAAACTGGGTACACTCGACTTGCCAAAATGATCTGCAGAGTGATATCTTCTGTCAGGTGTGGTGGTGGTAGTAATCATCTGGCTAGATATTGTCTCAGTTGATGAGCTGGGCAAATGGGGAGCCAGCAACAAGACAAAGCTATACGTTGATGTCAGTTCCACTATTATATATTGTGGAACTGTCTAGAGGAACAGACATCAGCAGCATCTTGTGACAAAGAACATGGCAAAGTCTTCCATCAGCAAAAGCAGGCAGTGGGAGTGAACCATACTTGGCATCAGTTCAGCATGGACATCATGCACTACTGCAGAAGCCATCTCCTGACACTAACAGATTGCCATATGTGATTCTGTGTGACAGCTGTTATACTGCCAATACTATTAAGTCAGTTGAAGTCAGTGTTTCGTGATCTACTCATAATGACAGTGTTTTCTGCAGCAGAGTTTGAAGCCTTTACCAAAAGTTGGTATG